TCATCGCTTCTTCATCTCTTCTTCTCTCTCTCTCTCTCTATCTCTCGCTCTGCGCTGCTCTGCTTGAGTTGTCGATATTGTCGGAAGTTAGACTTCTAAACTTCCTTCGACCATTATAGGGTTTGCCACTTCGGAGCACGCTTCTCCGCATACTGGTGGCAGCGCACCGGAGCATTCCTCCTGAGGCTACTGCGCGGCATTTTGGAACTGCGCCCACATCGTGCATGGTTGTTTGTGGATGACCTTTTGGCAGCACTGCGTCGCAGTGACGCGCACGCACAGCTGGCCCTTATGGTCATGTTCTTTGCAGCAATTTCTGCCCCGATCTCGTGGAAGAAGGTTCAATTTCAAAATGGCCTCACGTGGTGTGGGTGGCGCATTAATTTCCTGCATGAGACCATCGAACTCACGCCAGAAAAAACCTTAAAATTAAAAGGGCAGCTGCGCGAGCTGCTCAAAGCGGGGAAGGTCAAGCGAAAACTTTTGGAGCAGGTTCTAGGCCTGCTCATTTGGGCAACCAGTCTGAGCCCCGAACTCAGGTCCTGGCTGGCACCTTTGTATACAGATTTGCATTCACTGCCGGGTTGCATGATCTCTGTCCATGCGCGCTTGTGGCCGTCCTTCCTTTCAGCATTGGACACCAAAGCCGTGCTCAGGTCAGTGCACGGCATCTTCATGCCACCAGGCTCTAAAGTTCTCGAGTTCCAAGGGGCATGCATTCGCACGCCAGCTGACCTGCCGCGTTGTGCCTAGTCACAAATCCGCCTGGGTGCGCGTCGCGGACGCATCCGCAGAGCACACTCGCCTGTCCAAGATGAGCAAACATGGCGTAGAATGGTTGCTGCAATGCTTCCACTTAGACCTCGCATGCCCGCTGAGAAGCAAGCCAATGCTGGCATGCAAAGCAGCCGCAGATGCCTGCGCCGAGGGCAGTGTCGTGGGCATAGGGGGTTGGTTCATCACCAGCAGCTCCGTTTCTTGGTTCGCAGAAACTTGGCAATTCCAGGAAGTCCAAGAGCAGTCCTCACCAAAGAAGCCCAGCGCTACATCGCATGCTTCGAAACCTTGGCTCAACTAGCACTCATGCGTATCGCATGGTCCTGCGAGGGACAAAGCGTGCGTGGCATTTGCATGCCCACAGGGACAGATAACACGGCCTCAGAGGCAGGCGTTAATAAACTGTTCACCACAGCATGGCCCTTGCAAGTCTTTGTGCAACTTGTAGCCGCCTGGGCCCATAAACACAAATGGTCCGTGATCGCGTCACACATCCCAGGAGAGCACAACATCTGGGCGGACCAACTCAGCAGAGGTAATACCTCCGCTTTCCAGAGTCGGCCGCATCCCAGAGTGCGCTTCAGGCCGCATGATTTCTGGCCTCACGCATCAGCTCTCACGCTTCACCCTGCGGACGCACCGTGGAGACCCGAGCACGTGCTTGCATCGCAAACGCACTAAAGAGGGGGTGAGGTGATTTGACCGTTTGCTTAGAACCCTAACGTGGGGGCATTCCGACAGGCTCCGCATGAGATGCAGGAAGATGGAGTGGACGCGCATCGTCACTCCACCTGCATCTCAGAGCCTGCACTTCTAAGCAACGCTCAAGTAAAAAAGCGAGTGTCGAGTTTGCTTCGGTCGGATGCTTTTTTCCTTGCATGTCCTTGTAGGCTTGAAGCAGTGACCAAGATTCTAACGCTAGGGGTTTGTCTTTTCCCCTGTGTTTTAATCTTGGTTGAATCTTCGGCCGCGTGGCTGTTTCTGCTTCAAGCCCTTTAGTAAGGGACATGCCTTGAGGGTCTGACCCCTCTTTCGTTCTTTTTGAACCCACCCTCCCACCCTTTCACGGCCCAGGTGGAAACCAACTTCCACAAGGCCTGATTGCTGGGTGGCTGCACACGCATGGTTGCAAGCTTTCCCGCCTCCAACATTTTGTTGGCTTACTGCATTTCGCAGGACCCGTTTAGCCTGTGCAAAGAGGCCTGATAGCTGATTGCTGAACACGCGTTGTCGGCAAACTTTCCAGCATCAAGCATGTTGTCGGCTTACTGATCCCGCAGGACCAGTTTAAGCCTATGCAGTGAGGACGCATTCCTCGTTGGCCACACCAGTTTGAACCCATGCTGTGCACGCAGTCGCACATCGCTGAATGCCATCGGCATTCTGTCGGACCAGCCTGGTCCCCTTCAGGAGGACGCATTCCTCCCATGCACACCTATGCACGCATTGCATACCGGTGTGCAACATACCTCCTATTTGTCTCACACCCCATGGGTAAAACACCCTGTGTGATGGTCGAACACGCAATGTTGACCACAGGGGGCATTCCGACAGGCTCCGCATGAGATGCAGGAAGATGGAGTGGACGCGCATCGTCACTCCACCTGCATCTCAGAGCCTGCACTTCTAAGCAACGCTCAAGTAAAAAAGCGAGTGTCGAGTTTGCTTCGGTCGGATGCTTTTTTCCTTGCATGTCCTTGTAGGCTTGAAGCAGTGACCAAGATTCTAACCACACGTTTTGCCGAAGTCGCCTCTTCCAGGGCAACTGTGTGCAAACGATTCAAGGGGGTATGTCGAAACGGACACACCGGTTGGTACAAATACGTAACAACCCACGACTCAAGGGGGTTATGAAATTATATCAACTCAAGGGGGTTATGCTGAAGCTAACACGCTTGGCGCTGCTCTGCCTTGGGTTTGGACTTTTTGAAGCAGGTGGCACATTCGGTGCTTCTATGTCTCTTTCTCCATTCGGCTCCTCCCGCTACTCCTTGTCAGCTTGCCTCAGCTCTGGCAGACTTGTCTGGGGTCTTGTTTGCTATCGGTTCTTCCGTTTCTATTCTTGGATTAGCACATCTTGGTGTCCCTTTCCTTTCTGCCCTTGGCTTATGCCTCTCCCCCTTCTCGGCGGTCCTAGTTGGCCCAATCTGGGGTGGGGGCCCGGCGTCGAGGAACCCCTGGCTGAGGCTGCGTCGAGGAACCCCCTGGCTGCGAGGATGGTCGTCTTCCGGGACCTCCTCTCAAGCGAGAGATTCGCTGAATCGACGAGAATTTCAGAAATTGCGGAAATGGGACATTTTCTGCCATTTTCCAGCCCGCTGAAGACACCTTCGCGACACCAGCCAACACTTTCGCCGAAAAAGTGCCGATTTTGCCTCCTTTTCGGGCTAAAACTGCAAAAATAATAGGTTACTATAAGCCTATGTTCCTTACTACTGCACCAAACAAAAACAGACACACCAAAACAGAAGCCAGCAAAACAAAACAACAGAGGGGTTCCTCCGCAAAAGACCTCCAACAGTCATACATGTCTGGAAAATGGACGCCTCAGGAGCAACTAAGCTCACGAAGAGCAAACTACCAAGCAAGCCAGCACCACGCCAACCGAAATTGGTGGGTGCGCTCTTGAACACTAGACAATCAAAAACTAACACAGGCAAAACTTCTGTATTGTACAACATGTGTTAAATGTGCGGACATGTTTTTTGTGTGTCTTTGGTCCACGTTTGCACACAGGTGTCGCGGGCTCTTTTTGACAACCCTACCGGTTTGCTCCTCTTCCTTGTCGCTGTGTGGTTTTCTCCGGTCGGCCCTGTTTGTGTCTGTTCTGTCTTTGTTTTGCGCCGTGCGATCTGGCGTTTGCCTTGCCCGTCATGACTCCACCTAGCTTTCTTGGTATGGCTGGCTGCGCCTGTGTTGCTTAGCCTGCGAGTTCTCACGTATTGGGTGTCCGTGGCCATGGCCATGTCAAACGATGAACATCAACATTGCTTTGTTGGCTTCACAACCATAGTGTGGTGGTGTGGGTTTCAATATGCATATTGCAACATGGCTTGCGGTGTTATGGGCATGTTGATAGTTGTTGATATTATTGTGCTCATGATCTGTTGCAGGAAAAGGCTCTACACGTTGTTATTTCAAAACGTGAGCACCGTTTTATGCAACATGTGCTGATGTGTTATGATACGAAAACCCTTTCACCCTTTGGTTCTAAAATGAGACTCTCATTTTGTAAGCATGACAATCATGCAGTTCTTTTGTCTTGTTGGTGCATTTGCTGCTACAGCTTGTGGACATTTGGCCCGAGTTTACATGGCGTGACACAGTGCCTGGGTCAGAGAAGGGCCAATCAATTCCAAAGCCAAAGTCTTTGCCAGACGGAAGCAAACAGGTTTGAATTGCTAAGATGAGAAACTGACTATGAGCAACCGCAACTTTGATGTGCCGGTAAGTCCTTCGGGAATCATGCGCAGTCGAGTCCTTGCAGAGCCGGGGATGCGATCTTTCAGACGCTCTGCCCAATGCCATATGCTTATACCCCCAAACTCACAAATCTATTTGGGAGGTGAAACATGAGGATTGGAACGGTCGTTTTATTGCTTTCGAATGTCAACGGCCAAATTAACTATTGGATTTTTTGTTTTGTTTTGCCAAAAACACCTTGAGCTACGGCCGAGTGCACCAAGGATGCCCTTCGGTGCGTGGACAGAGACAGACTGGCGCATACAAAGCCAGAGACTGTCAGGCCGATCTTTCTTTAGCAGGAATTGTCGGGACTGTCGCGATGCCAGGCCAATACTTGCGACAAGACGACGTTGCAACACCATCAAATGTACTCTTGCGAGCAAAAGCAGAGGCGGAATGTTCTAGGCTTGCATGCCATTGTCACTGGTGTGAGAGCTTGCCAGGCTAGGCGCCTCCGGTCTGCCGTGTCCCTTTCAAAAGGGAGCCTCACTGGCAAAGTGCTAGCGCGAGGAGGACGCATAGACCGCGTCAAGCAGATACTGTTCGCTTCTGCAGCGTCATAGCGCAGGAGGTTCACTTGCCTCCACACATTTTTCATCGCACATTCGAAATAGTTCACGCCTGAGTTAGTCACTGAGACATGTTGCTTCCGTTCGCCATTCAGCTGGAAATGGCATGTGCGTTCCCAGGCAGTACTTCCATCGGGGAACTACAAAGTTCGGTGGATACGCTGGATCTTCAGTTTACTACCGGTTGCCATGCAGTCTGAGTCACCGAGGGTCGGAGCTTTGGCGAGTCCACTCAACTCTTGCTTTGACTCGGACGACAATGTGCTGATCAGGCGGGTGCCTCGGATGGCTTGCACTGAATCAAAGCCCTGGGAAGATGCGGCGCATCCTTTCAGTGGAATGTTCCCACCTGTCCTTCTTTTATACCCCTATGTTTGGAGCGAGGCATTCAGAGATTACGCTCCAGAACTGGAAGAAGGAGGCCAGCGTCGCATAGTGGGCCATGTGGCAATCTGGACGTGTGTGTTGCCAGGGCCGGACAGCATGTTGGCTTGTCGGCACCTCAAGGGTTGCAGGGTGTGACTCCCCCATTCTTTCCAACCATTGTTCTTTTCAAAAACCATCCCGTTTCTTCGGTTGGTGGCTAAGAAGGCTTCCTGGAAAGAATGGGGAAGTCCCCCGAATGATCCAGGCACCGCTCAAACGAGGCCGGCGAAAGATCGCTCTATGCTGGAGGCCCCGGCGGCGAGTTCTCTTTTGACGACGGTGCTAAGCTCAGAGCCCAGCCGACGCAAGCGCCCCAAAGCCACCAGTTCTTTGTCGTCGTTTTCTTCTCTTGTGCAAAGTTGGATTGTTAAGTTGACATCCTTGACATTCTGCCTCACTGATAGGTGTTGACCACATGACGACTACAGCCTCAATGGCCCGCCTCAAGTCTTGCTTGCGCTATTATACAAGCTTGACGACGTGTAGGTACTGCAGAGGGTCGAAAATGACGACTATTCCATTGCGGGCATCACCAAAGAATCTGAGGACACAGATCGCAGGCTCGAGAAGATACATGCCAAAGACAAGTGCGTGAATATCTTCGCAGGTTTTCAGTGAGTGATGCTGTTCAGCTCATTTCTGGCGGTACAGTGATTGGAGCAGTGGCTGAGGCCGGCAGTGCAGATGTAGCAGCAGAGTTGTGGTTGATCGGGTCCATGTTTACTTGCCCGCCCACCAACACACATGGAAGTGCCCAGACTTTCATTGGAAGACACGTTCCATTTTTGCATTTCCATGTTTGTTGATGGGTAACTTTGCCAGCCTTCATGATGCAATGCAGTGGGGTGGCACCGGCAGAAGCCACATGCTTGCGAGGACATGCTGAGGAAATTGAAAACCAATGGCTGCCGCTCTGGCATTTCAAGGCCGGTTTCTGCAGAAGACTCTATAGTCACACTTTCCTTATAATGGCCAACTTCATATTGGTTGATGTCAGACAATAGGAAACCTTCCGAACACCACTGCCAGTCGCGGCGCAACCCAGTTCCGACATGCTGTAGGAGATATGTGGTTACCTACGAGCTCTACGGGAAGCTCGCCGAAAAGGCGTTTTCTCTTCGGGCTGTCTTTACGGCGCTTCTGTGCACAGACGCGAACGTTTGGTGAAGGTCAGACAGGTTTTGGAGCAGATGGAGGTCCGGAGCTTGGGAGTGGTGGGGGATTTTGCTTTAAACAACTATAAATAGGATTGCTTGACATGGATGACAGGCTTGGGTGCGGAGCGTGCAGGTGGTACATGCTTTCTTGGAGTTTCCAGAGATGTTCCTGGCCCCTAAGTTTTTGTTTGACACCCGCAAAGCACGTTTTGACCATAGCACATATCTCAAACTCAGGACATCTCCAAGATTGAGGCCGGAATTCTTGCTTTGGCAGTTGCTGGTACCAACCAAGGAGGCGGAGCCTCGTTGCATTCAGGTTGAAAGAGCCAATCTCGCCGTGCTGGCGACTGAGATGTCATCTTAAAGGCAAATCTACTGCCAAGACTCATGCATGTTGAATTCTGGTGTGCCAGCCAAAGCAACCAGGCAAATGGTACACCACAGGAGACACATGGCACATGAGACGCTAAGTCGGTGTCGTCTTTGCGCGCCTCTCTTTTGGGTTGTTTTTGAGGTATACCAAAGCAATACGCGACTCATTTTGGCAGTTCCACTATTTTGAGATAAACCCCAACGCTCATCAGGGAGGTGTTCTGAAAGTGGTCCCCGAGGAAGCTGAAGGCCGGGAATGTGGATGCCAACTCCATCGCGCGGGCGCTTGGTAGGCCGGCATGCGGAGTGGGTACTTGCCTTCCGCTTTCAAGAGCATTACCCCGACGTTTTCTCCAGCCCTCACATCTGTGGGTGGCTTGCAGGGAAGAGGATCAGGAGCTTGTGGCGAAGCTGAAAGCTGCAGCCGAACAAATGCAGGAGGATGAAGATCAGGAGGCGCACCTTGTTATATTCTTGCCCACATGTATGCACATACTTTTTTTTCCCGGTACTCTTTCCCCATAGTTGCCAGAATCAAGCAAAATAAGTCTTTTTCGAGTCCCCCCCATTTCGGCACATGCTCACATCTGTTTGCAATGAATGCTTCTGCCCCCTTGTCAGGGTGGCATAGGGGAGAAAACTTTGGACCTCAATTCTTTACGCGACTGGCTGGGCTGGCAAATTCAAGAAGGATGGAAGAGGACATCTTTGATACGATCGCTGAAAGCCCAATGTGAAGCTGAATCATCCTGACCAAACAGAAGCACACGATTCTGTATCAATATCGCATGAGCATTGTTGTCTGCGTTTCGATTTAGGCAACTCCGTTTGTTGAGGATGATGGAGCCAGCTGGGACCCATCTAGGTACCGCCCCGGACTAGTCTTGGATATGCTGCTGTATCTAAGACAAGGATTGGCTGTCCGAGTTTACCTCAGTCAGATGGCTTTGAGCACACCTCAAATACATTTGCATTGCACAAAGCAGCGAAAAGCATCCAAATTCTTGACTCAAGCATTTTTGCACGCTGGCAGATTGAAAGCAGAGAGAAGCTGGTGGCGGAGATTGAAGCCATTGTCACCAGGGATGACCTGACCATTCTCCTGAAGGATGTCTGGATCTTGGTTCCTTGAGACATGATCTCTTGCGCCAGTCCGTTCAGATGTTGTCCTGAGTCGAGCAAGATTGGAACATTGAGGGTCCAGAACATACCACTTCGGGTGGTCACGCAGAAGTGGGCGTGATTCAACTTTTTGAGTTCCCAAGGTTGGCTTGTATTGCCCAGTACCGCACACAAGGGTATTACCGTCCTTGACATATTCTAGCCTCGACTTTGTGCAGAGCATCACTGAAAGCATGCTCCGGTGCGCTCCAGAGCTCTTCTCCAGATGTTCCATTGAGGCCTCTGTAGTGGGAAGGGTCAAATTAACATAGAGAGTGCCGAGCAGCTTCTTTGACTTTTTGCCCAATAGTGTTTACACTAAGGGGTTCTTACGGTAAGATTTAGATCTGGATTAGATCGAGGGTTCGCGCTCAAAGTGTTGGCACTGAAGTTGTCTTCCATGCAACAGGCTCGCGCGAAATTGGGTTCGCGTTGGTGCGTAAGCTCTCGCCATGCCGCCGTGCAAACTTTACGCATGGCATCGCGTTTTGGATGGCAGGGACAACAGTCTGGGCGGTTCGCGCTATGTCTTTTCAGGAAGCCTCGCACCATGCGCTTTTGTTTTGGCAAGGTGCATTCTGATGTCAGGGAAATGGCCCGCCGAAGTTCGCACTACGACGGGGGCCCCTTTTTTTCAGGAAGCACGCTATTTTGAGAGCAAAGTGCGTTGTTTGATGGCAGAGCCGCTACGCGGTGCATGTCTTCTTGTCGGGTCAGGCACGCTTGGACAATCGGAGCCTAAAGCGATGGCAGTCGCAAAGAGTCTTGCGAGCGACAGCTTCGCATGCAACGAAGCTTTCAAAACTACGCCCTTGGCGCTGTGCAGCCCTGGATTCGTTTGACGGCTGGGTTCCATGGCCCTGGCATGCAATTTTCGACGGGCGCAGTTTTGCGCTGATGCCATGCGTGGCAAGCGCAGCGTTTTCACAAACAGGGTCTGTGAATTTCGTGGCCCGCGTAGCGATTCATTCATTTGCATTTTTGCAAGATGAAAGTGAACCCTCAGCGGAGATTGTGCGCGTCGAATCGCACTTGCACGGCGCCACTGCAAGAGCGTCTTGAGCTCGGCAAACCTTTTGCGGAGATCCTTCGCGTCAAAGCGCGCTCTCGCTGAGGCGCCGCGCGGATGCGTCTTGGCCGCGGCGAACCTTCTGCGGAGATTGCGCGCGTGGAAGCGCTCTCGCTTTGGCGGTTCGCGAAATTTGTTGCGGTCGCGGTGAACCTTTGCAGAGGTCGTGCGCATTGAGGCGCTCGTTGTGGCGGTGTGCAATTTTCCTGCTTTCTTTGCTTGCGAAGCGGCGTTTGGAAGTTGTCTCGTGGTTTGCGCGCCTGCTTTCACAATTGCCTGCGGTCTCGGGTTCCCTGCCTGGTCCACGGCAGCTCTGGCTCGAAAATCACAACTGTTAATTACGAACATAGTATGCGAAGTGCGCTCCCGCAGCTCCAGCTGCACCATTGCAACTTTTCAGTTCCCTCCCTCCGTCCCTCCCTCGCTCCCTCCCTCCCTCCCTCCCTCCCTCCCTCCCTCCCTTTCACTCACTCCCTGTCACTCACTCACTCTCTCTCTCTCTCTCTCTCTGTCTCTGTCTCTGTCTCTGTCTCTGTCTCTCTGTCTCTCTCTCTCTCTCTTTCTCTTTTTCTCTCTCTCTCTCTCTCTCTGTCTGTCTCTGTCTTGTCTCTGCGCCGCAATGGTGGAAGAAGCAGATTGGGACAGGTTGTTTCCTTCCCCTGGAAACCGTCTCCACTTCAACACTTGGATTTGAGTGTGTGTCGGAATGATCTTGCCGAATCCCAGGTCTCTTGGCGGGAGAATTTTCTCGCTCAGACAAACTGAGGGGGTCAGAGTGTTCCTACATGGGCCTGACTAAATGAGGGACCCCCCAATGAGGGGATTACGTTGGCATCCGTTGGCTTCCCTTCCACACAACTCCGAACAAGGATCCCCTGACTTGCTGGTGGGGATCTTAGGTCCTGGCAGTCCTGGAGCGCTTTCGCTGGCAAGACATGGCTGGGGGCCTCTGAGTGGAGAGGCTGTTGAAGGAAAATCGAGAGGAAGCTTGCCACCTGGAGGGGTCCCAACTTTGGGAAACATGCACAGGAGTAGATGACAATGCCATTGGTGGTCTGCTGCTTGTTTGGGGAGGACATGCATAACCCAAGTTTATCACAAGGACCAGGGTGCCCGGGCTCATCTCCCGGTTTGGGCAAGTCATACAGAAGGGCAAAAGGCCTTTCCCGCTTTTCAGGTGCCACCGGGGATGGCCCTTTTGACTTTTAGCCGAGCTACCCCGGCTGTGCCACTTGAGGCCATGGAGTTGAGGAAGTGGTTGGCCATGGGCGAGAACTCTGACACTGCCGGGCGCCGATGCCGTTGTTGAGAAGTTGCTGTGGCAAGCCATTTCCCGTAAGTCATGAAGATCAACTATAGCTTCCTCATTTTGGGTTACGGATGCCTTACCGCGCACGAGGTGATGAGGCGTTTGCTGGATGACACAGCCGCAGCCTTGGCTCCATGAGAGTCGAACCCATTTGTAGAATGGGAGGTCGAACTTCAACGCGAAGCCTTCAGCGTGCTGACGCTGTCCAAATTCTTGGTAGATGAGACGCTGAGCTCCCACGTGTTGCTTGCAGCCAGGTGGGGTCGAGTCATTGCGAAAGCTTTTGTAAGCCCCCTTCACTAAGCCGGGTGCGCTCGACGCAGGTGTCTTTCGGACTTCCATGAAACAATCGACAGGCAGGCCTCTTTGCTGTAAGCTTCCTGGCTGCGTATGCCTGCACGGCAGGGAGATGAGAGACATTCTTGAGCAGTGTGGACTGGATGATTCCATCACAGTCAGGCGGGCAATTGCACCTTATTTTCGGAACATCTTGCCGTTGCTTGGACACATCCTGTTCTGTTGTCCACACGAAGCCCCTCTATGAGTCAAATTTTGAAGGAAGTCTTTTAAAGCTTCACTGCCGAAGCTTGCGCGACTCTTCCAGGATGCTGTCCGACGTGAAGAATCAGATGCTGGTCGAGGCTGGAAGAGCTTGGAAGTTGTTGGATGACAACACATGGTAGATCCTTTGGGCTGGTGAGGGATGATGAAGGCTTCTCTTTGTGGATTGCAAGGGAATTCAAAAGGCAATCCTCCTGATCTTGGGGCTTCTCTCATGTGAGGCGCCCACACAAATATAGCAATTGTCCGCAGCCCCCTTATGAGTCACTTTTGGTCCACATTGTCTGGAGTAAATCCTGATAGCAGCAGGCAGGTGGAAGGGGGCTGGGCTTGGCCAGGGCTGGACTCGCCAAAGCTCCGCAATGCTGGAGGAGCCGAGTGTGGGCTTTGGCCATGTATTTTATGTCGCCTTGGAAGCGTACTGTGGCTTTACATTTGGACCTCGCCATGTGCCGCAGATTTTGTGGTTTTCTTTTGCTATAAACTGGTGAGCCACAGGCATTCTGGGGTAGGCTTGGGCAACCACACCACCTACCCTTGAAACCCTTTAACTCGGGTCCCGACAGCTTCACTCGCAGGAGGGCGACTCGGAGCTGAGAGTCACCACCCCCAGCGATTGCCGGGCCAACTCGGCGACTGGGATCAACGTGGCGGAGCTGACAGAAGCGCAGCAGGCGCCAAAGGTCCAAAGCGATGCGTCGTCCAAACAGGAAAACTTCTTTTTTGGGGGGTCCGCCTGTCTTGGTGGTTTGACTTTGGGTTTCCCTTCAAACCAGACAAGGGCAGGCGTACCAGCTCTGTGTGTATGATGCAATCAGAGGTATTGCCAGTTTGGAGGTCTTGGCACTGGTTTCAATGAGTTGAGCATAGTCTGCATAGGCCAAAGTGACGAGGTGGTCGGACCACCCTGACATTGTTGGTGGACATAAATCCCAGTGTAAACGATGTCCCACAAAGGGTCCCCAATCAAAGTCCAAGGAGAACTGAGCCAGAATCAACATTTGGGTAGACGAGGGGACTACCCCAGCCTCCATTATCGTCTGGAGCCAACTCACACCCCTGCTTGGGGGACCCCCAAGCACACTGCAAGACGGGGGAAGACTCAAGTAGACCAAAACTGGAGGTGTGTTTGGGGTGGTACACAACAGCTGTGGCCAGATGATGGTCATGGAACGGGAAGGCCAGCGGAGGACACTGCTCAGCGGCCATTGGTTCTTGTGAGAGCACAAAGTGCCAAGCGGCACCTCATAGGATCCACCGGCGCGTGATGAGCGATCTCTTTGCGGTCATTCAGGACTGGGCTTGCATGTTTCTCCAAAGGTGCTGGAACTCAGAAAGGCAAGGGCCGCTTTGATAGGCAGCCAACATGAAGGCAACTTACAGGTTTTAACAGGAACCATATTACAGGAGCCATATTACATGAACTTTTGGACAAGCCCTTACACAGAAGAAATCAAGAGTTGCAGAGGCTCCCTCCAAATCCATGCCAAACGGGCTGCTTAGGTTCTACCAGAGCCTGTTGCTTCACTCCGTTGAGGGGTTTGTGCGTCCTCTTAGGAGCACAAACGCAAGGTCGAGATGAATCGGTCCTTGTGCGACAGTCTCACTCAACTCTACCAGGCCTCAAATTTCCGGCAGATGTCTGGGCAGGTACGACCACATGCTCACCACCACACTGCGTGATGTCGGGGTCTTGGGGTCTTGCTGATTGGCGTGTTGCTGTGGACACTTGCAACCAGGGTTCCATTTTCTTTAGCACCGCCAGGGTAAACTTCAACCCAGGAGTGTTGAGATTTCCAAAGGGGAGCCCCTGGGCCCAAGACTGAAGCCCTGGCTGGCCTGAGGCAGCGCAGGAGGCTGGCGAGACACCTGGGGCTGATCCGGGCGGGACAGGCGCACGGTGGGTGACATTCTCGGTGATTCAGGCGGGACGGAAGAATATTCGACGAGGCTCGGCATCACCGGCAAGCCAGGAGCCGGGAGCCTATTGGCAGCGTTGCGACGAGCTTATGATTTGAAGTCAAGGCAGAAGAGCCCTGACAGCTACCTCCAGATTGCCATGCAGCGCCTTGGTTGGAGAAGCTGATGATTCTTGCTCGAGTCTTTATCTTGCAGTTTCTTGGTTTGATCTGTCCAGAGGCAACACGAGTCGGAGCCGCCGAAACCTGACATAGACTTCAATGAGGCGTGACGACTGATACAGGGGGTCACATTTTGAAGCCAGTACAATGCAGACAAGGGTCATACAGAAATGTGGTCGAAAGACCTGGTTTGGCTGCCGTGACAGCAACCAGCATACGTCATGCAAGATGCAACTTGGCTTGTCTATCTGATACTTTGATGCCATGGAGCAGCCATGGAGGCTGCCCAACACTAGGTGAATTCAGGGGGCATTTCCAGCTCCTCCAAGCATGGAAGCCTCCATGAAATTCAGACGATCTGCAGGATCTGTTTGGCGAAGATGAGCCTGGGGCTGACGACGGCGAAAACGAGATTGAGAACGATGCCGAGAACGGCGCCGACGCTGGGGGCGGCAAAGCCAGCAAAGCCCGAGCCCGGAAAGGCCGTGCCAAGGGAGCGCCAGGCAGGGTGGAATTCCTGGTGTCACTCGTGCTTGAGTGGCGCCCGAATCCATTTTGGTGTTGACTTGCAGGACGAGAAGGTTCTTTTGCCCGTTTCTTTGGGGAGTTGAAGCTGCGCAAGGGCCCCGCAAAAACCACACTTGAGACCCGGGGGAAAGAAGCAGCTTGATTGCTTTGGCCAGCGTAGCACCGATGGTGACAGGGCAGCGGAGCATAACGAGGAAGAAGACCAAGCGCGAGAAACCTGAGAAGGACCCCACCAGACGAGTTTCCAGCGTTCAATCAGCTCTCTGGAGGAGCCGAATGCGAAGAAGGGCCCACAGCGTTTTCAGATTGGTGCGGCGGTGGCCCCAGTATGAAGGGGTTCTTCAGCCTACGCCTTGCCAGTGCTTTGGCCTAAGAGGCTGGGTTCCACAGGCGTCCTTTGAATGGTCAATGCGGGGACTTTTTTGCATGTCCTCTTGGGAAACAACTCATTCTGACTGTTCAGATGAATTCCACTGGTTTCAGTAAATTCTGATCATTGGCCAGAGCTGTTCATTTTCCAAAATGACACCTAGTTTGTTGATACTGAACTCACCCTGGCTTTGCTAAGATCCGGCTCTTGCAGAGCGGCAAGGCAGGAAACCTCTGACGTTTTCCGCAACATGGGGGCTCAAAATCAGGGAAGCACCAATTTGGTTGCCCCCTCAGCTTTCGTTTGGGTTCCATTTTGTTTCCAGTTTGACACAATTCCAAAAAGTGTACCCATCCAAAAAGAGGAACCGTATTGCCAGGCTTACATGGACGAGATCATTGGTGCCGTCGCAGAGAAGAATATGCTAGAGGACGGTTCTCCCGCTGGGCAGAATGGGGGAGTTTGTGGTGTTGTTACTTGGTGACTGATCATGAGATGAGCACTGACAAAGTTTAGGTCTACTGGTGGTTTGGGCGGAAAAAAAGGGGAGCCACCCATTTTTTTTTGCCAAATCAGAGGACTACCCGATTTGTTTATGTCCTCTTGGGTGTAGCACATGGGGAACAGGTAACTTTGATTGTCCGCGGGTCATATGGGGTTGTCTCTGAATTGGGGAATTAGCAACATGTGCGCTTTTCCGCGATTTCATTTGTAAACCATGTCTAAAAAGGATACCTTCAAAATGGATTATTGATTCCAGCGGAATGCCAGGAGAATGCGCTGCGGACTCTCAAAAAGCTAGAGCCAGAGCCTGAACATGACTCGCAAGGAGTGAGAGAAAGGGGATCTTCTTGTCAAATGACGCGGCTTGGAGCAACATTTGCTAAATGCCTTCCCGTGCTGCTGATGAGGTAAATTGCCAAAATGAGTTCGCATGATGCCTTTTTTGACCGGCTCCCAACGCCGCTATACATGCCCCCGAACTGCTTGCATATCTGAGAGACAGGCAGACATTTGCAGAGCACCCAATGTGTGCAACTCTGCTTCGTTGAATATTGGCCAATCCAGGCGACCATCTCACTCGCAAGCAAACAAAACCCATTCTCAGATCCGCGATGGCCGCCTTTCGCTGAGCCAAAATCAAAGGACAGTTCCAACCCTGCATAGGTGCAGATGTGCGCCCTTTGGACCTTTAGATTCTTTATGTTTTGGTGTAAAGCCCTTGAATACCAGACTATTGCCATTTCTGCGTGTATCTTGTCCAGAAGCTCCGAACGGGTGATTTGAGGGGACCACCAACCACCCAATCCCCAGTCGGTTTTAGGCTGCAGAGGAAGAAGGTCAAGGGTGCCACCGAGAAGCTGCGTCGGATGCCAAGCTGATGGCTCTCCCGAGGATCACAGCCTCATAAGTTTGGTTTTGTGTAGTTTTTGGCTTTCTGTCCTGCTCTTCTGACAAATGGCGGCTTGCGGATTCCGTGTAGCTTGGCCCCATGTTGAGGGTTCCCCAGTTTCAGAGGCAAAACCCAAGTGGCTTGTGTGACACTGTTCCTTGGACACATCCAAAAATATAGTGACAGACAGTCTGTTTCATACATGCCGCCTACGAGGAGCGGACCAGATGGTGCGCAAATCTGAGTCTTCGCTCAGCTCCCGCGGCTCCTCCAAATCCGGTTGGAGCCTCGGGGGTTTTAAATCGATCGGATCGGAGTGCAGTTTTGCCAAGGCGTCTCCATGAGGAGCCGGGGGTTGGGGGCATCACGGGTTGCGACGCGAAAGTTTTGGATCAGGAGATCTGTGCCAAATGCAGCTGAGATGGATTGGCTGCAGATGAGGCGGGGAACAACAATGAGTTGATTGAGCCGAGGTCGACAGCATGTATATGCAACCAAAAGAGAGAGAGAGAGAGAGAGAGAGAGATAAAACAGAGAGAGGGTCAAAAGCACGTCAGCTGAGGAGGGATTGGCTTTGCAAGGATTTGCCAGCTTCCCAGCTTTGGTCACTGTCAGCACCGCACGGCTCCATCGGCCTGCGCAGCTCAGGAACGCCAAAGTGGTCTCCGTCTCGCTGAAGGACCGCTCAAGCTTCGAATTTGGGGAGAGGTGTTTTCTGTGGACCAGAGCGGCAGATGGGGCACCTTTTTTTTGCAACGGAAGTGGAGCGTTCTTTTTCTAAAGGGAAAACATGCTCAAGCCCTTTGGTCAGTTTCGATGCTTGCTTTCGGCTCAAGCCACGGAAGTGACTCATGAGGACATCACTCCGGCAGAGCCCAAGGCCCAGGGCGAGAAGGGCGATGCGGCAGGAGGCGAGAAGGGTTGGCTGTTCGGCTTCAAAGCAGCTTCCCCTTTCACGGGCCTTCTTTTGAGTTTGCTGTCAACAGTCCCAAGTTTGTCAGCCAACCAAGGGGCTGTTTTTGAGCCTTGGACAAAAATATGTATATTTGTCAGTGGGTGTCCCAAAATCAGGAGGTCCACTTCGTTTCCTTAACTTGAGTCCACAAAGTCCCACCGTCCTGACCAGAGATAGAAGCAAGCAGCTCTGTCTTTTGTGCGCTTCATGACAATCCTCAAGAGCTTGTGCCTTTCAGGGGCCAAAGGGGGCTATGGGGAATGATTCGGAATGGGGGGGGAGCTAGTTTATCACCTAAGCCCGTAGTCCTTGTTCGGAGCTTGTTCTTGGCTTATCGGCCTATCCAGTGATAGCGGCATGGCCGTGTGAACTGTGCCAGGCTCAGAAGCCCCCGCAGGACTCGCTTCAGGGGGGGGCGCCGGCGCCGCGGGCACAGGTGATGCAGGGCCGTGCTTTGGCTGAGTTTGGGGGTGGAGTAGCAAGGGGAATGGGAGTAGCAACGGAATGCCCTGTGCGCTGGTATTTTCCGGCTCGCCGGAGTTATGCCTGGGTGGTTACTCCACACTCATTTTTGGACCAACCAGTATGGCAGCATGGGTTGTTGTGGAGAAAGGCCGTGGAGCCTTCACTGGCAAACTGTCGCGACGAAGAAACTCACAAATGGCTGTGGCTGGCTTTCATACTTGGCTTTGAAACGCAGATGGGGCCTCCTTTCTTGGCAACACGCCTTTCCAAACGGGAAGCTCCTTATTGGAAGGACTGTGGGTTTGTCTCGCACGCCTCAGGCAGCGTATCCGTTCCCGGCGGCGGGCTGTGCTCATGGAAGCTCAGAGCGCGCCGAACGAGGACGAAGGCGCGCGGGCCTTCAACCAACAGATGCCCCGGTTGGCACCAGGCAAGCTCTGAGACCGAAGGGCCCCCGAGAAAGCCGGCCATTGAACCTTTGGGGCTCCCTTTTGGGTTTCCCATTTGATTTTTTGTTTTGTTTCTTTTCTGGGATTCCTTGTTGGGATCATGTTTTGACTGTCAAAGTCCCAAAACGTGAATCAGCATTTCAAATTCCTTTGGGAGCGTAAGCAGCAAGGACGAACATGAAACTGTCCGAAAAGGGGCAACTTCAATTTGGGTTTGTTTTAGCAGTAGGGGACCCACCAAAGTGGCGCCAGTGCCGTTTGCCAGGCTACGAAGCACAGGTCCCTCGCGCGCTGCTGCAGGTGACATTCGCCGGGCTTCAGGGTCGTTGCAAAGAGCGGCCTGGTTGGCCTCCCTGAAGAGTCAAGTTTTCCACGGGCCCCGTTGAGGCTATCGCAACCCGGGTTGAGGCCATCCTTTGTTTCGAGTGAGCCACAGGAGCTGGCCACTACCAGAGACCTGCGGACGCAAGAGCTGTCCAAGTTCCTGAAGCTGCAGGAGGGGAGTTTGAAAGGATCCGCAGAGCCTAAGCCCTCCATGGAAGATGCAGCCCACAAAGTCCTTCGCCGTTGGCGGAGCTGTTCCAGCTGTGCCAAGTTTTGGGGCCCTCCTTCAGGAGGTTTTGCGAGCAAACCCACTTGTGGGAGGAGGAAATCCCTGGTCAATGTTGCCGTTAAATTCCCACCGTGAGAAGTCATCCACCATGAAAGCCCGGGGGTGGGGCTAGCAGGGGAATCATGTGAGACTTTTCGCCAGGATTGCCTGTCAGATGTGACTCAAGGGGATTTGGGGTGAGGCTGTGACGGTGCGGTCAGGAGCAGGTCGTCCAGAAGGTGCAGGACGAAAATGGCTCCCACAGCTGGGACTTCCGGCTGGAGGCGCGCGAAGCTCTGTCACTTTCGCCTGGCGTCGATGGTGCCACAAATGGATAGAGCCCATGGATCTTGTTTGAGCTTCCATTTTTTCGGTTGGAGCTTTGGCAAATGGAGTATCCACCTTTCGTCCAGGCGCAGTACTGCCTTTTCTTGGCCAGCCCCTGGCCTGGCTCTCAGTTGAGAAGTCAGCCGCTGAGCGGTGCGACGCTTGTTTTCGGAGGACTGTCATTCTGGATCGTCTAGAAGAAGATGTCCGGGCCTTGCGTCGGGTTTGAGGTTTTTGCGAGGATTTGGTGAAGATGTGCTGCCTAATTGTGGTCGATTTGGAATGGACATTGGGGTGGGGGGCTCTCACACAATTTCTCATCGAACAAATCAAAGAAGGGGGGGGCGGAAACAGTTTCCCACGTCCATATGGGTATCAGCATATTTTGACCATGGCTTGTTTGTTTTGTTGCTTGCTTGCTTACTTGCTTGCTTGCTTGATTGTTTGCGAGGAAGTATAGCAAGCAAGCGAGCAGGCAAGCAGCAAGTAAGCAAGCACGCAAGGAACCAAGCAAGTAAGTACGCAAGTAAGTAAGCAAGCAAGCCCTACATGTATGGATGGATGGATAGATGGATGGATGGATGGATGGATGGATGAATGGATGGATGCAATGTACCGTGATGCAATGTAATGTAATGTAATGTACTTTGACATGTATAATGGAATGTAGTGTGTTGGAGTGTAGTGCAATGTTATGTAACGTGCTGTACTGTAATGTAATATGCAATGTAATGATGTTTTTTTTTTTTTTTTATGTAATGTCCTTCCCTCTCCGGTCCTGTCTGTTTGTCTGTCTGTCTATTTGTCTGGGTGTGTGCCTGTATGTAATGTAATGTACTGTAATGTAATGTAATGCAATGCAAATGTAATGTAGCGTAACGTAATGAATTCAATGCAATGCAATGTCATGTGATGTAATGTAGTGGAATGTAATGTAATGCAATGTAATGTAATGTATTGTACTGTAATGCAATGCAATGTCATGTAATGTAGTGTACTGCACTGCAATGCGATGCAATGCAATGTAATGTAATGTACTGCAATGTAATGTAATGTAATAAATGTAATGCCATGCCATGTCATGTAATGTAATGGAATGTAATGCAATACAATATAATGATTGTACTGTAATGCAATGCGATGCCATGCAATGCAATGTAATGTAATGTAATGTAACGGAATGGAATGAATGTAATGCAATGCGATGCAATGCAATGTCATGTAATGTAACGTAATGTAATGTAACGAAATGTAATGAATGTAATGCAATGCAATGTCATGTAATGCAGTGTAATGGAATGTATTGCAATGCAATGTAATGTATTGCACTGCAATGCAATGCAATTCAATGCAATGTATTGTAATGTAATAATGCAATGTAACGTAATGTAACGTCATGTAATGTAATGTAATGTAATGGAATGTGATGCAGTTGAATGTAATGTATTGTACTGTAATGCAATGAAATTCAACGTAATGTACTGCACTGTAATGCAATGCGATGCAATGCAATGTAGTGTAATGTATTGTAGTGTAACATAACGTAATGTAATGAATGTAATGCAATGCAATGTATTGTAATGTAATGTAATGGAACTTAATGCAATGCAATGTAATGTATTGTACTATAATGTAATGCAATTCAATGTAATGTATTGTACTGTATTGCAATGCGAGGGAATGCAATGTAATGTAATGTAATGTAACGTAATGTAATGAATGTAATTCAATGCAATGTCATGTAATGTAATGAAATGGAATGCAATGTAATGCAATGGAATGTAATGGAATGCAATGTACTGTATTGTACTGTAATGTAGTGCAAGTCCATGTAATGTATTGTACTGTAATGTAAGGCAATTCAATGTAATGTATTGTACTGCAATGCAATGCGATGCAATGTAATGCAATGTAATGTGATGTAATGTAACGTAATGTAATGAATGTAATCCAATGCAATGACATGTAATGTAATGTAATGGAATGTAGTGCAATGCAATGTAATGTATTGTACTGTAATGTAATCCAAGTCAATGTAAAGTATTGTACTGTATTGCAATGCGATGGAATGCAATGTAATGTAATGGAATGTAATGAATGTAATGCAATGCAATGTCATGTAATGTAATGGAATGTAATGCAATGCAATGTAATGTATTGTACTGTAATGTAAAGCAATTGAATGTAGTGTATTGTACTGTAATGCAATGCGATGGAATGCAATGTAATGTAATGTAATGTAATGCATGCGATGCAATGTCATGTAATGTAATGTAATGAAATGTAATGGAATGCAATGTAATGTATTGCACTGTATTGTGATAAAATTCAACACAATGTACTGTACTGTACTGCAATGCGATGCAATGTAATGTAATGGAATGCAATGTAATGTAAAGCAACGCAATGTAACATAATGTAATGAATGTAATGCAATGCAACGTGATGTAATGCAGTGTACTGTAATGTATTGCAGTTGAATGTAATGTATTGTACTGTAATGTAAGGCAATTCAATGTAATGTATTGTACTGTAATGCAATGCGATGCAATGTAATGCAATATAATGTGATGTAATGTAACGTAATGTAATGAATGTAATCCAATGCAATGCATTTATACAGTGTAATGGAATGTATTGCAATGCAATGTAATGTATTGCACTGCAATGCAATGCAATTCAATGCAATGTATTGTAATGTAATAATGCAATGTAACGTAATGTAACGTCATGTAATGTAATGTAATGTAATGGAATGTGATGCAGTTGAATGTAATGTATTGTACTGTAATGCAATGAAATTCAACGTAATGTACTGCACTGTAATGCAATGCGATGCAATGCAATGTAGTGTAATGTATTGTAGTGTAACATAACGTAATGTAATGAATGTAATGCAATTCAATGTATTGTAATGTAATGTAATGGAACTTAATGCAATGCAATGTAATGTATTGTACTATAATGTAATGCAATTCAATGTAATGTATTGTACTGTATTGCAATGCGAGGGAATGCAATGTAATGTAATGTAATGTAACGTAATGTAATGAATGTAGTTCAATGCAATGTCATGTAATGTAATGAAATGGAATGCAATGTAATGCAATGGAATGTAATGGAATGCAATGTACTGTATTGTACTGTAATGTAGTGCAAATCCATGTAATGTATTGTACTGTAATGTAAGGCAATTCAATGTAATGTATTGTACTGTAATGCAATGCGATGCAATGTAATGCAATGTAATGTGATGTAATGTAACGTAATGTAATGAATGCAATCCAATGCAATGACATGTAATGTAATGTAATGGAATGTAGTGCAATGCAATGTAATGTATTGTACTGTAATGTAATCCAAGTCAATGTAAAGTATTGTACTGTATTGCAATGCGATGGAATGCAATGTAATGTAATGGAATGTAATGAATGTAATGCAATGCAATGTCATGTAATGTAATGGAATGTAATGCAATGCAATGTAATGTATTGTACTGTAATGTAAAGCAATTGAATGTAGCGTATTGTACTGTAATGCAATGCGATGGAATGCAATGTAATGTAATGTAATGTAATGCATGCAATGCAATGTCATGTAATGTAATGTAATGAAATGTAATGGAATGCAATGTAATGTATTGCACTGTATTGTGATAAAATTCAACACAATGTACTGTACTGTACTGCAATGCGATGCAATGTAATGTAATGGAATGCAATGTAATGTAAAGCAACGCAATGTAACATAATGTAATGAATGTAATGCAATGCAACGTCATGTAATGCAGTGTACTGTAATGTATTGCAGTTGAATGTAATGTATTGTACTGTAATGTAAGGCAATTCAATGTAATGTATTGTACTGTAATGCAATGCGATGCAATGTAATGCAATATAATGTGATGTAATGTAACGTAACGTAATGTAATGAATGTAATCCAATGCAATGTCATGTAATGTAATGTAATGTAATGCAATGTAATGGAATGTAGTGCAATGCAACGTAATGTATTGTACTGCAATGTAATCCAAGTCATTGTAACGTATTGTACTGTAATGCAATGCGATGGAATGCAATGTAATGTAATGTAATGTAATGAATGTAATGCAATGCAATGTCATGTAATGTAATGGAATGTAATGCAATGCAATGTAATGTATTGTACTGTAATGTAAAGCAATTGAATGTAGTGTGTTGTACTGTAATGCAATGCGACGGAATGCAATGTAATGTAATGTAATGTAATGCATGCAATGCAATATCATGTAATGTATTGAAATGTAATGGAATGCAATGTAATGTATTGTACTGTAATGTAATGCAATTCAACATAATGTACTGTACTGTAATGCAATGCGATGCAATGTAATGTAATGTAATGAATGTAATGCAATGCAATGTCATGTAATGTAATGTACTGGAACGCAATGCAATGTAACGTATTGTACTGTAATGCAATGCAATTCAATGTAATGTATTGTACTCTAGTGCAATGCGATGCAATGTAATGCAATCTAATGAGATGTAATGTAACGTAATGTAGTGAATGTAATGCAATGCAATGTAATGTAATGTAATGTAATAGAATGCAATGCAATGCAACATATTGTAACGAGCTTCGCGGTCATTGTGCAGCCGGTTTTTCCGTCACCTTGGTGTTGCGTCGGCCAGGTCGGGCACTTCTTGAATGTCGTGTCCAGCCTTGAGAAGTGTGGCGGCCTGGATGGGACAGCATTTAGCTGCGCACATGAGGCAGGAACCGCAAATTCCGGGAGCAAAGGCGCCTCCCAACGGTTGGCGGGAGTTTGCAAAGGCTGAGGTCGATGGGGCGGCTTTGGTTGGCACGGGGACCCTTTGATTTTGACTCTTTCGTGCCGGTCAAGTCTAAAAATGGCGGTTTCAAGATAAAATCGCTTTGATGAACCAACACGTGATGATCCCTGCAACTCGCAAGGTGGATCTCGCGTAAAGGAAACCATATCCACATGTGTCTTGCTTCTGCTCATCTCGTGGGTGTTGTTGAGGGCCCTTTTCGAGGTGTTCTGTTTCGAGGCTCTCCCTGGAGACTCAGCTGGATGACATTTGCCTTGCCCCCAGACCGACTTCGTTTCCGGTTTCCGCATCGAGTCCCGGGCCAGGTGAGACGCTCAAGGACGCCCGGGAGCAAGCCAAGGAGATGCACCACGCGCAGGATGAGGCACGCTCAACAAATCTCTCCTTTCAGCATGTAGTTGGTTTGTGAGTAATCATCCGTTTTCTGATTGACCACCAACTTTTCAGCACTTTCCTTGCGGAGCTTCATGCGGGGTTTCCGAGGTGCGCCGGTACAGGCTCTCGCAAAACGCCGTGCGGACCGAGATCGAGTCGAGGCATGCCGATGGCAGAGAGCCAGCTGGCTCCAAGCCGTGCTTCTCAGCATCGGATTCGGTCCCCAAAACGGCAAGGGTTCCTTTGGCTGCTTGTTGGATGCTGGCCAAGAAGGGTCCACCAATTTTGAGAAAACTCCCAAATCAGCGGTCCTGCCATTTTTTGCAACAGCCTCCGTGATGTTCTTTTCTCCGAATCCGGGCGTCATATTTTCAGAGGGGCGTGTTCTAGTGCCTCACCTTCCTTGCTCGGTAAGTCGGAAAGATTCTGTAAAGTACGAACTTCAGAGAGGGTTTCTGCTTTTCCGACCGTCAGTGCACGGATGCTTGATGAAACGGCAAGAATTGCTTCTGCAATTATGAGTGGTTCCGTTCAACGGGTCACAAACCACTCGAGTCACCATGACCGCGTTCCGTCCGCCAGGGAGGCAGTAGTTCAGGAAGCTCGGGTGCAGGTTGAACACCTGCCCGTGCCCAAGTCGTGTTCAAGTGGGTGTGCTTCAGTCATGTTGTGGGTGTGTCCAAATTAGTGCAGAGAAGAATGCGCATCATTGCGTGTCTTTTCAGCGTACCTTTTGGAGGTTTCAGTACTAGCGGTTCTCTAAAGTAGGAGCCCCTCAAGATGGCATCGCACTGTCCCCAATTTGGCTCCCCCTGAGATCGCAAAAACCCTTGAGATGTTTTCAAAGGAAACCAGAAAAGATCAGCTCGGAGGGATTGGTCACATTTTTGGCGCCTTGGGTCACTGCCCAGGCTGACGTCTCTGCTGCAAAAGATTCGGAAGTGGATGCAGCAGGCTCTGCCAACGGGTTGAGTCTTGGTTGCTACATTTGCATTCCATTGGAACAAGCTGCCAGTACAAATCGGGCCCGGCTGAACAATTTCCGCAGTGATGCTAGCTCTGCTGTTGGCTGCTCAGGTGGCTGCTTTGGATTTGGACCAAATCTTTGAGGCCTGCGAGGAACGTCTCAAAGTGATACGAAGCAACACTATTTATTGGGCAGATGTGGGATGGTTCTAGCGAGGTCTCGAAAGATCCAGGTGTCCTCCTTGCGTCACTGTCAGGGCAACTGACTTGTTTTGCAGGCCAGAGCGACCAGACAAGTGCGCATGCAGAAGATGCAGCAGGAAAACGGCGTTGCCCCGTCCTCGATCGAGATGCAGGAGATGCACGGCAAGCAAAGAGCCTTCAGCAGGACATATCATTCCTTAGCGCAACGTCTCTCTTGGCAGATGTACCATGGCCAAAACGCCTTGTTCTTTTGGGATTGCAGCGTATTTAGACAGCCATGGTGAGGGTTCCTAGAAAGGCCTAAGAGTGCCATAACCATGGCCCACATTGTTAGTTTGACCATGTAATATATGGCACACTGGGCCAAGGTCCAAAAGAAGATCACGGAGACTGCTCAGTCGCACCTTGCTTAGGAAGCATCGGAGGGAGTGGAGCCATGCTGACTGTTTTAGGCTGACCGAAGTTTCCAACGAGAACGAGGCTCGAAGCTGGGCCCATTTCTCAATGCAAGGCCAAGAGAAGTGGTGCGGCCGAACAGTCGAAAGCATGGGGTGTGATTTGTGTGGGATCTGAAGCCCGATTGCCAAATTTGCAGATGTCTCGCGCCAGGAGCTGCTGACGGAGAAAGCCCCTGCCCCAAGCCAACACCCGTCCGAGTTTGGGCCAGATGATTCACTGGCAGCGCTGTCAGCTCTTTCGGGCACCGGTGTCGGCTATGCCGAAGCCCGTCCTTCGAAAGTGCTTCTGAGTAGTTTCTACCAAAGTGATCCTTCTTTTCTTCTGAAAAGTCATGGGGGACCAGGCTGGCTTCTGAAAGAAATGCAGTGTGAGGTTGACAGAGGCAACCCTTGGATCCATTTTCGCGCTTCCACTTGGCCATCAATCTCCCTTGAGACTTTTGGTTGCCCTTGAGTATGCGCCTTTGGCTGTGCAATGCCAATGGTTGGATGTTGCCCAACCAGCGCGGGAGCTGTACATCCAGGGCTCAAAACCGCAAAGCCGCAAAGGGCCGAATTTCTGGATCCTCCCGAAATTTGTGTGTGTGTGTGCGGAGTGGCAGAATACCCTGCCACCACAATTGCTTATGATTTCAACCGCAGGGGGTGCCAGGGGCAGAGCAAGGCTGGCACCAACGAAGACCTTTGCTCTTGCCTGTGATATCAATCTCGGACGCGAGATTGACGTACCTGTACCAGTGATTCAAAGTCCTTTTGGCCCGTTGTTTCTCTCGTGTGTGCTTCATGTTGAACCTTGTAACGTTTTCGACACGAGAGGGAAACCGAGTGCATTGCGAGCCGAAACTCATCGTACTCGAGACTCATCAGTTGTACTCGAGACTCATCAGTTGTACTCGAGACTCATCAGTTGTACTCGAAAGATTAGCACCCTCCCTTGGGAGTTGAAGTGTGACTACCCCAGCTTGGGGGAACCTCGGGTGTACCCATCGTGTGACCCCGGGCCGGTTCGCCGGAAAATTTGACCTCAACGTTCATATCATAGTCCAGCGGAATTTCACGATTTAAGCAGGAACGAGGTTTCACTAAAGGGAGACCATAGTGTCTCACCCTTCTTTCTTTCTTCTCGCCTTCGTCTTGCGCGCGCCCGTCTTCTGGTTCTTCGCCCGCCTAGGGATGGCTTCTCCTTCCTCCTTCTCTTCTTGCTGCCTTTCGTGACCCGCACTTTCGTCCTCCTCCTGTTCGCCCGCTTAGGGATGGCCTGGTTGTCCTCGCGTTGTTCACGTTTTTCCTCGTCTTCGTCTTCTTGTCCGTCTACCTGTTCCTACTCCTCTTCTTCCTCACGTAGTTTGGCTTGACGTCTTCTTCCCCTTCCGTTTCTGTTTCGTGTCCGTCCTCTTGGCCCCTGTGTGGGATTCGACGTCTTCCTCCTCGAGCCTTGGTCTTCATCCTCTGTTCCTGTCTGGGCGGGATGCGTCGCCCTAAAAACGCATACTACATCCCTCTTCCTCTTCCTTCTTCCTTCTTCCTTCTTTGCTCCTTCTGTCTCCTTGTCTTCTGCTTCTTTTCTTTGCTTTTCTTTTTTTCTCCTTTCTCCTCTCCCCGGGCGGGCTGCGGCGCCCTAAATACGCATCTCGCTCCCTTTGTCTTCTTTTCTCTCCTTCTTCTTCTTCTCTTTCCCTTTCTTTCCTTTCTCCTTCCCCCGGGCGGGCTGCGGCGCCCTAAATACGCATCGGGCCCCCCCTTTTTTCTCTTCTTGTTCTCTCTTTCTCGCGCTCTCTCTTTCTTTCTTTCCCTCTTTTCTCCTCCCTCTTTTCCAACTACTTCCTGTTGTTCCTCTTCGCCCGTTTAGGGATGGCGTGTTCGTGGTGTCGTTCTTCAACTTCGCGGTGCTTTTCTTCTACCAGGTTTAGGAGGGTTTCTAGGCTGTTTGGGGTTCTTTGCCCTTGGCGGTGACCCTAAACTCGGGTTCCCCTGTTTTTCGTGTTTCTTGGTTGGGATTGCCCGCGGAGACCCAACGTGGGGCCTTTCTGTTTCCTTTGTTTTCCTGCTCTGTTTGTCTTCTGTTGGGGTCTTCGCCCGGTTTTTGGGGCGCGTGTTTTCCCCCCGAAAAAGTGGTTCTCGCCCCTCGTGGAGGGGCGTGTGTGTGTGTGTGTGCGGAGTAGCAGAATACCCTGCCACCGCAATTGCTTATGATTTCAACCGCAGGGGGTGCCAGGGGCAGAGCAAGGCTGGCACCAACGAAGACCTTTGCTCTTGCCTGTGATATCAATCTCGGACGCGAGATTGACGTACCTGTACCAGTGATTCAAAGTCCTTTTGGCCCGTTGTTTCTCTCGTGTGTGCTTCATGTTTAACGTTTTCGACACTAGAGGGAAACCGAGTGCATTGCGAGCCGAAACTCATCGTACTCGAGACTTATCAGTTGTACTCGAGACTCATCAGTTGTACTCGAGACTCATCAGTTGTACTCGAAAGATTAGCACCCTCCCTTGGGAGTTGAAGTGTGTGTCTGTGTGTGTTTCTGCCTTTTGCAATCCAAAGTGTCCCTTTTTGCATCCTTTCACCCGGGTCTCGGGGCCAAATGGCCCCCGCGACTTCTGAGGCCGAAGCTGTGAAAATGGTGACTTCCGCCAACTTCTTGTCCAGGCAGTTGCGAAAAGGTCGCCTTTATTGACCCTAAACTCCTAAATTGACGTCTTTCGTTGGATGATTCTCCTATTTGTGCGGGTAGATGCCTTGCTAATGGACGGCTCCACCCTCCAAAAGCAGTTTTAAGCGTGGCTGGCTGCGCCCGATTTCTGGGACACCAGATACGTTTTCCCAAAGGGAGGGTCACCAAGCCATGGTCGGAGGGGTCGTTCAGCGGTACTTGGGGAGAATGGAATCCCAGAAGCTCGGGAATTCCTCTTTTCAGACAAACAAACAGTGTGTGTGTGTGTGTGTGTGTGGATTTGGCCTTCTCAGAAGAACAATGGCTGACAGAACGGCGGAACCTTGAGACAGTGGGCTGCCGATCAACACACTTTAGACAGGAAGCTGACGGGTCTCCCACTTCGGAAAATATGGGTAGGAACCCGCGATTGGTGCAACAAGCACAACATGGAAGGCAGAGGCCTTTTTTCCCATAATGTGTGGCTTTGGGGATAAGAGCTTTCGGGCCGAACCTTCACCGAGCCAAATGGAGACTAGCCATTCGGAAGGGTCCAACTCCATGTTAGTGGACAGGAGGGTACTCCAATTTGTTTTTGGGCAGCAGGTTCTTTCGGAGTTTCTGGAAACCCAGCAGACGGGAAGAACATACGTAACAATCCTGGTCCAAGCGCATTCGACTGCAAACGGAGCCCGGGGATCCCGTCAGTCGGAGGTATTGTTGGAACGTCAACTGAACGCTCACCGTGCCAGGGCCGCGGCCAACCGGAGGAAGGCGTTGCAGGAGAGCGGCTCTCGTTTCCAGAAGGTCACCTGATCCAACGGATCGTCAATTTCGGAGGGACATGGATTGACGGTTTGCCACAAAAGGCACGGCTGAGCTTCCCATGTGCTTTCGGCAACATACTTCGATTGCGGCTCGCTCATTGTCCTGCATACGGGTGTGTCACAAAATGGGGACCCCTCCAAAGCATTCGGGCATTCAGCGGGCTCCCCAGGAGCTCCGGACGCTGACCAAGCAAGCCAAGGAGGCGTGGGCAAAGAGAAACTCTGAGAGCCCGCCTTCCCGAAGGCAGCCAAGGCCGTGTTTTCGCCTTGGACGTAGCATCTTTATCGATGCAGCTGGTAATGATTTGGTATCCAAACATTCCAGAGCGTGCAAAGCCAGCATTTGTGAAGATGTGCTCAGGGAATGGTGGGGAGGCAAGCAAAACGTGCCCATACCCAGTTATTCAAGCGACCACTATTTTTCACAGCTATTTAGACGCATCCCTTTGGCCTTTGAGCTGGCCCATACCAGGCTGGAGTCTTGGAAGACAAGCAAGACAAGCGCCTCGGCAGCAAAGGCCGCACAGGCTGAGCCTCATGCTGCACCTATGTCCGCAGTATAGCAAACATCATATTCAGCATCAGGGGATTGGGGGGGGAGGGATTGGTTTCTCACAGAACTAACTTCACCCTCATTACATCATTGCAGTATCAGAGGTCCCAACGCCACTCCCGGCCAGGAGCGCAGAGCTGGATGATGGTGGCTCAGGTGAGGACTCGGGGGGCCAATAAGCGAAAAAGCACACGTCCTCTGGCTTCTCTTTAGATACCATCCCAAATCGGGTCCATCTCCAATTCTAGGTCCGCAACTCGTCAAGCTCTCCGAAATGGTGCCCTTTTTGGACCCGTGTTAACGGCCGCAAAAACCGCGTCAAGATTTCAAAAGAAGGGTAACAATAACTCCATTTACCTATATTGGATGACTGAGAAAAGCACCCAACTTTTTAGCAACTTCAATGTTTTCTCCAAAAAGAAACCAACCTTTTGCCCCATCCAGCCCCCCCCCCCCTGGCCCCCTCCCCCCCACCCCGCCCTCCCCCCCCCCCCCCTTTCTCAGGATACACCCATGCGCTAAGACAAATGAAGGGCGAAAGACAAGCAGTCCGCAAGTTGTCAATCACGCGTGTTTGCTGAGTGGCAGGGCCCGCCCGCGCACAAGCACACACTCACACTTGAACACTTTTGATACCGCGCAGATGAAGCTGATGAAAGTGGGGAAGCCCAGGTATTACGTGAGCTGAAGGCTGCCGCTCGATTGAGTCGATTTTGTCCCGAAGGGTTGGACCGGTCCAACCGTCCCAGGCCCTTCTGTGCCGGAGAGCCCCCGCAGCCGCCGGACTCGGATGGAAGACCTGGAAGTGTCGAAAGCGCTGATGGCCGCTGCCCTCGGCGATGGCTTCGGCTTGGACTCGCCGACCTCGCGGACCTCGCGGAAGTCCACGAAGGGGTCGATGGCGTCGACGGCGCAGTCGGCCCAGTCGGCCTCCGCACAGAACTCGACGAGTCAGTCGCGGCCGTCTGCATCGGCGCCCTCGTCGCCCGCGCGGGGCAGGGGCTCGGTGCGGGGATTTCAAGGAGCTGGCAAGCGGGGCTCGACAGCGGTCGGGAAGCTGGCATCCAATCCGGAGAATTGGATGGCGGAGGCTGGGTTTTGGGAAGGGTTGTTGTTTGCAATAGGTTTGCCAAGGATCGTCAAAATGCTCCTCATGATTGCTCATTGGCTACTCCCTCCGAGGTTCTTCTTGGCCTTTGATTTCACTCACAGCTATTGTTGGTTTCTCAATGCTTTTTCTGCGGCCCTCACCCTGATGGTGTTTGGCCTTTGGGTCTATGGCCACGGTCAACGGCCATACGTCTCTGGTTTCAGGCTGAAGATGCTCTTGCGAAGGTTCGGACCTCAAGTCTGCTTTGTACAGAGTCAATCCCCAAACGTCCTCAAGCCAACGGCGTGCATTTGGCTGGAAGCTTGTGTGTGCGCTCTTTCTGGAAACCCATTTTTTTTTCTCGAACAGGTACGGGCTGTATACGACAAAATACAGCCACAGAAAAAGTGATCATACGGGTAGAACGATCCAATTACGGCTTCCGTCGCAAAAGACATGGCCATCAGCTTTCCAGGTTGGTTTAGAGCCCTCGCTCGAGCATTGCAACGGAGTAGAACTGTCAAGCTGAATCTGTGTTGTTGCTGGCCAATGGACATCGCGTATTAGCTGATGCCAACGGGGTTGCGGAGAGCTGCATTGCTCATTGAGCTGAGGGGCAAAGGACTTCCGAACAGTTGCATGACCGAGAAGGTTGTTTTGAGTTTGAGTCGGAACATGCTTTCAGCTCCTTGGGCTTAAGAAGAACGGCAAGCGCAAATGCGGGCTTGAGCAAATGATGCCGAGGCGGGGCTGAGCAGTTTGGTGGGTTGCAGGGGAAAGCAATTGCTCGCTGGAAAGGGGCGGGCTCTTCAGCTAGGGACTGGGGGCGGCCTGGGAGCTGCGTGGAAAGTGGGCTGAGCCGCGGTATCAAGAAAGAGAGGCTGGGGGCAGGCGGCTGGGGCTGAGTCTGGGGAAAGACTAGATTTCAGGCACAAGAAGCCAGGCGACGAGTCCTTAGGCTTTCCCACTCGCTAAACCGCGAATTTCATTGGACCGTGGTTCACATCAGTGTCTCAGCACTTTGTGCGTAAGGTCTTGGGGCCTGGGCAAAACGCGGCAAGCTCAGCGCAGATTTATGCATTTTGCAAAATTGGCCACGGATGTTATTTGGCAAATTACAGAACCCGCCCCCGAGTACCAGCAAAGGGTCCAACGAATCAAATTCGCATCCTTTTCAAGGCAAAGGCAAGGTCGGGTGGTTTGCTGTTTTTGCCGATGACCAGGCCCGGCCAGGCAGCAGAGGGATGCAAGGAGTCAGCCACTCAGAAGGAAACCGCTATGATGTGCCTTTTGTTTGTTCTGTCCGATGCCTCTTGGGTTCATGCAGGACTCCCTTCCGAAGCCTCCTTTTTTCAGGGCCTCGGCGTGCTGCAGAATTGTGCATCTTGAATGGGTCGTTGAAACACCAGAGGCAGCGCCCCCAAAATAAACAAACGACTTTTTTTCGCATGAGTGGACGCACTGAAGGAACAGCTGACTGGCCTGTGAGTTTGTGAATACTTGTGCCTCTCCGAGGCCTTGCCTGGCGCTCGCCGGGGCAAGGCTCGGGTGGAGAAAGTGTGGGGTGTTTCCAAGACAGGGCGACCTGAAAAATGGTCCGTTTCCTCTGAGTTTCCCGTTCATCACCATCCACTAGAGAGTCCTCCATTTTTGGAACATACCCCAGCAAGCACCACAGTGTGCCAGTTGTCACTCGGCTGGGCGTCAAAACTAGGAGCCTTCAGACAATGTTTGGTTTGCTTCTCGTTTGCCTTTTAAGACGTTGCCAAACAGTGCCGCTAGTACACAATAAGGCAATAAACTGCAAAGCAGCAACTGGGTCTGTCTCAAGATGAAGGTCGGTTTGAAAACGGGGTGCCCCACAAGACATGCCTAAATTGAAGCAGCTCAGGGATCTGTGTCGCAGTCCAAGCTCAATTCGGCTGAGCAGAGTGCCGGGCTTATTGCTTGATAGGGACGGCATTTTGCTTAACTCGACCCTGGTCCTGTTGGAAAGATAACCACAAGTTGTTTGTCTACAAAAGATGGATTCCATAATGTTTATGCAAGGAGTTGGCCCAGCCCTGTCTTGCATACTCCAAGGCAAAGTTTTGACCAAGAAGCTTCAAAAGAAGCAGGAGGACAGTCAGGGAAGGCAAGTCGACAGCTTCTGCAAATGGTGCAAGCAGAAGGTTTGATGTTGAAAGCTTGGCCCTTTCACACAGACACATACGTTTGATTCGAGTCTTCGCAGGAACTGGCAAAGGTTGCTCAGGACTTGCAAGGCACCGTGCTCCATGCAATACTAGTTCAGCATGCAACATGTGATGCAACCCGAACGTACTTTCTTCATTTTGTTGAGAGGCGTGTAGATTGTCTAGTGAAAGATGACGTTTAACAAGGGTGCGCTTCTCCTAACTCATTGCAAGAGCCAGGAAGGTTTGGAAACCTCACAAAGAAGAATGCCGCGATGGACACCGCGGCAGGCACGAAATTTGGGGTGTTGACATGGGGCTAGTTTTGTTTCCCTTTGTGGACCACCCCCACCACAAGGGGGCCCCCCCATTTTGACGCGCACACACACACACATGGCTGTGGGTCAAAACCAATGGTACCATTTTGGGGCAGTGCACCACCCAGTTTAGTCTATTTTGGTGGGGATTGGGATGTTCACTGGAGGTACAATTTGACCCATGGTCACATGACCAAAAGGCGCGAATTGCCTTGGGTTGCAGGCTGGGAGGAGAGGATGCAGAAGCTGGAGGCGGAGGTGAAGCGTCGCACTCGGCGAGCGCGGAGAAGCCTTTGGATTTGTTGTTTTTGTTTGTCAGGCACGATTTGTTTGTCTCTTTGCGGTTTCTTCATATTGACCTTTGAACCAGCAAGAAGCACACTTTTTGCAGGTCGTGTGATTGTAGCCAAGTTTTGGGGCACGCCCACTTTGACCAAAGCCAAACAATCGCCAACGTGCCGGCCCGGCGCTCTCGTGAACCTAAGGAGCTCGGCAAAAATGATGGGATTTTGGCAGAGCCGCTTGGTGGAATGGCACAGCGATGCCTGGACCTCAGCTGACCTCAGCTGCAATGCTTGAAAACTGGCTGGTGGAAGCAGATCCCCATTGATCAAAAGGTCGGAGTATGGGATGACCATGGGAGAACCACTAAGATGATATTTTCCGGGGTCGAACGGAATATTGATCAACCCCCATGGTGAGCAACGGGTCTCCCTTTGAGTGTTTGCTTCGCCGACATGAAGTGATGTGAGCCAGAATCAAACCCAGGTAAATTAGGGATAGTGCGGGGAAATTCCCAACAATGGGTACGGATATCAGGCCTTTATATCATTCTTTACATGGGGTTTGGGTGGACCAGAGCGGCTTTGATGCGCTGGAGCGCGATGGTTTTTCAACCAGTCCGTTCCTGAGCCAAAGTGCTCTCATTTTGCCATACCTGTCGTCTTACTTGCCACATCCTGTAGCTGTCCATGTCTGCTTGGGGTAACATTCGCATTCTTTCACATGCTCGGGCGACCAATCTGGTAGTTGGAACCAAGGATAAGCACGTTTTAGTTGATTATGGGCGTTGTTCTATTCCGGGGAACACCCTAATAATTCACCTGGTTGATAAATCCGAGGTCGAGAGTACAAGGTTTTGACTGAGGTTGAGTCGCGCTGCGGTGAAGAAGTCTTGGAAGAGCTTCAGAAACTGTCTGAGGCCTGGGGCGGGTGGAAATCAGCGACTGGAAGAGCATCCGAAAGCTCGTGGCACGTTGCCCACTTGAAGACGTGCCCAAAGTGAGTGTCAATTTTAGGCGGTTGGACGAATGTTTGCATGGAGACTGAAACAGCAGCTGCATAGTCTGATTCTACCCGACCTAGTTCTTCAGGCGCCTTACCATGTACCGTTGCCGCACAACAACAAGCGCGACAGCACAACATGCAGACTGAAGTGCGATTGGTCAACCTGCAAGAAGACAGTGGAGTCAGAAACTGAAATCGACCCTGCAAAACGCCAAAGCGGCAAGGGATGTAGCGGCAACTGTTGGAGGATAAGCAGGCTGCGCAAGCACTCAGAATGCATCCTTGCCACACAGAGAGGACGCTTTGCCAGAACGATGCTTTGCCAGAAACGCACAGGAGAGTCGTTCTGCCATGTTCTCGCCATTGGGCGGGCCATGCCGGCTCGTGGAGTTTAGGGTAAAGCCGCAGCATTGGATAGCGCGGCCGCAAAGTGGTTGTCGCCACGAATGTTTCAATCGGAACTGTGACGCCACGAACACAATTGGGGCTACAAGAGAGCACCGAATTGATGTCATTCTACATCATTCCCTCATTGTCGCGCAACGAGAACAGCGAAAGACAGCAACATTCCATGATGCGCGGCCCAGACGCAACCTCCAGAGCGAGATGCAGCTGGCTCAGGTGATGCGCGAGCTGTGACGCTCTGTCATTTGCTTCGGTCCGTTGCGGTTTCCTTTAAAAGGGACTTCTTGGTTCCTTCCCAAAACTCTTGATTCCCTGATAACCAAGATTAGTGCTGTATATAAGGGAACGAGGACTTTCTCGTGCTGAGGTGAAAGAGTTGGAAGAAGCTTTGCTGAGGCACGCGGCAGCGGGCCAACCCCTTGTTGAAACGCGCAACTGTAGTTTTGTCTCGCCTTCTTTTGGTTTTCCGATTTCGGGGCCCGGCTTCCGTGCAGGCGAGCCCGTGAGGAGAAGACGGAAATGGAGCGCATTGAGGAGGCTGGGGACTAGGGACCGAGACAAGCACCGAGACAAGGCATGTCAATCTGAGGCGGTTTCATTATTTTTTTAAAGCAGCAATCCAACAAAAGCATTCATCCAACCGCCATCCAAGAGAGAGAGATGAAAGTATGCTTTTGCAGGGAAACACTCTGATCAATGGTTGTGTCAATCCAGCGCAAGGGCTCGCCGAAAGGGTCCACGTCCAAGGTGATACAGTGGTGTCAAGTGGTTGCCCAGGTGCAGCGCAGCCTCAAGGAGCGGATCACAACAGTGGTCGAGCTGCTGGGATGCATTCGTTTTGTCTCACAGTTGGGATGCACTCGAATGAGTGGTGTGCACTCGAATCTGTGAACCCACCCCGAACATGGGTTTTAACGGTGGATTGGAGGTGAGCACATGGGGCCCGTAAGGAAGAGGGTACCCCAAAAAAGGGAAGACATTTTTCTGGTCCCAAATCACGTGGTCCTTAATCTTTGAAGGCCGGCCCATTTTTCATCCCATAGGTTGGGAAGGCCATGCGCCGAGGCATGGCGAGCTGTCCTTGCACGATCTGCACAGGCGGAGCTTGCCATGTGCCTTTCGATCGCAAGCCAGGGAAGTAGAAACTTACGTTTTCAAGACTAAGATACGTGGTCACAAAAATCAACTTATGGGGATTCAAGTATCATAGGCTAAGACTTTGACATAGAAATCACGTGGAGATTTCCTTGCTGGTGCTCAGAGGGAATCTGGGAATGAACCAGGGGTCCCCTGAAAGTAAACCACCAGGGATGGTTTACAAGGAATTGTTTATCAGGGTCATTCCGTTTATCATTCCGTGCCAATCGCACCAGCAAGTTTCGTATCCATCGTTGGCAACTGGCTTCTTGCGCGGGAGATGGCCGGCCAGGGAGATGTCCAACGTGCTGTCGACCATGGTCAATCACCATGGAGCCGATCCTGGGCTCAAGAGGTTTTCTGGGATCGAATGCCAAAGCAGGGGGGAGGCCCTCGATTGACAGTCACTGTTGTGAGTCTGGTGGAACATCGCTGACCTCTACTCTGCCAGTTCCGGTCATGGAGGTTCCAACAGCTAGATTCAGTTAGCTTGAAATAGCTTGATTCAGTTTTGCTCGAGTCATGCGCTAACGGTTTCGATTTTTCCGAAAGGACCGATCTCGGAATCGTGGAAGTTTCTGCGCTGAACTCTGATTGCGGCTCACCGGCCTGAGTCGGTTGGTAAAGCCGACAGAAAAATCGGAGAATCTACCCTAGTGAGGCTCCCATGAGAAAGCAGCTGATGTGCATAAGGACGAGGACCCTGCGGATGAGCTGTCCTTCAGGCCTGGGTTTGTCATAGAGCTCTCAACAGTGGGTAGTTACTCTTTGGTTTCTGACCGGTCCGGTTTCCAAACTTTGAGCTTTTGGTTGTCAGGTTTCTTAGTCCGTCAACGTTGAGGACTAGCCATGCGAACTTAGGTCAGACAGGGTACCCTCAAGGATACGCCTTTGAGCCTTCGGCCCTGACCCGTCAGATCTCCCCGGGCACGTGATCCCCTCTCGGTGCAAGCGAAGCGAGCGCCCGTGAGGAGGCGTGGCTGTTGTGGGAAGCACATCTACATTTGGCTGTGGGTCAACACCCATGGTACCATTTTGGGGTAGCTGCATCACCCATTTTAGTCTATTTTAGTGGGGATTGGGATGTTCACTGGGGGTGCGGGATTTTGACCCATGGCCATTTGATGGGGCAGCGAGAGATTGATGAATGGTCAATTTGCGGTGGGACGTCGGGGTGCTCATTGGTGACAAACCGCGGAAGTCGCTCTCTTTTTTTGTCCAGTACGGTCGACTTTCGCGCATTTGCCCTGTGGCACGTGTGGAGGCCTGTCAAGACCAGAACGGCGGTGGAGGACCATTTGCATCTCCCGCGTTCTTTGGCGAACGAACCAGTCCCAGAAAGCAAGCGCCAAACATGGACACCTAGGTGAAAACCAGGAGCCCTTTCTGCGACCCTGACACCAAATGCCGACATGTTGAGATCGCGAGGAGAAGCGCCTCGCCCTGTCGCGCGCCAGAATGTCTCAGATCTCGGCTTGGGGCCCGGCCTTCGGACGGCGTAGGGCAAAGGTCCGGTTTCCCAACGTTGGTGCTTGCCCACAGCCCCCCCTTGGATGTTTCGAGCTTTGGACGTTTCAAGGAGAATCTGCAGGTTCCCAGGATTTGTCGAGGGGTCCGATTCCTCTTCTGGGAAGCGCACAGTTGCAGCAATTTGCCGGAACGGAAAGCAACGGGGAAGCACGCTAGAGGCACGCAGGTCTCAGAACTAAGTGGCAGCCAAGGCTGAGAACTTGCACATACAGAAGAGGCTGGATGGGCTTCTTGAATCGCACCAAGAGCCCGGGAGATTCGGACGGATCGACCTGACGCAGGTGGACACTTGCTGGCGCAGTCGCGCCGAAAGCAAAGCCCAAGGCTGAGGGTGCGCGGCTCAGCTTGTTGTGTTCAGCCAGTGCTACCTGAGATGCGAATCCCGCACTTGCTCGGGGTGGGGGGGGGGTAAGTGGGGTTTTCCGCGCCTTGGCAACGGAGGATAAGGAGGCTCTGAAAAGGTCACTCATCCGAAGGGATGTCTTTTGATCCAAGAGGATCTCTGGCGCGAAATCAATGATGGCATGTACATGTTGCGATGTGCCCAACTGGGATATTCAAACGGCTCGTTGTCTTGTTTTCTTTTCAAATCCACCGGATGGATGCTTTCTCAACCATACGAGGCCAAGATCTTGGCGCGGATCTGGTGCCGGAGAAGCCGGTGGACCCTTACATTACCAGGACCAGGCGCGGATAGCTCTTTGTGGGGTCAGGTGCCCGCATGGTGGGCGGTCAGGAGTATGAGCCGATGTTGGCCATTGAGTCACAGCGATGGATCACATGTTTGCCCCTAGCACTCCTGCAGGCTGCAGGGCTGGGGTGGCACACGCCTTTCCGGGCTTTGCATGACTCAACCAATGACCTGGCATTAAGCGCGTTTGTGCCATGCATCGCGTCGATTTCTGCGAGCTTTTGGTGGCCAGTGTGTAGCCCACTCCGCACTTGCGATTTTTCTCTTGTCATGGCTCCGCGCAAGTCCGGCAGCCTCGTGGCGCTTGTGATGCTTGGCGCGGCCTGCACGGGCTACACCTTCTTGACGCCGTCTGCCCAAGGCCGCCGGGCGGCAATGCTTGGCGCTGCTGGGGCTGCCGCCGCAGCTTTCCAGACAGCAGAGGCCAAGGACTTCGGCGAGAACCCGTCCTCTTGGCTGGGGTACTACAAGGAGACTGCCAGGGTGGTTGGGGCGGGTAGGGCGGGAAGGGCGGGAAGCGTCGCAAGCTGGGGTGTTTGAGGCCTGCTTGTCTCTTAGTCTTAGCCCATGATCGTCTCTCGTGCGCGCTGCAGAGTTGTTTGGCTGATGAGTTGATACGGATGCCCTCATTTGAGCCCGGATCCCTTTGAGTCTCACAGGACCCGCAGCACCCCCAGTGCCCACGCCTCATCAAGTATGACTACAACCCTGGTGCCAAGAGCCCCCTCATCGTGGAGGCCGGAGATGGCGAGCCAGGCTGCGAGAAGCGGGTCTCAAAGTACTGGAGGGGCCGAGTGACTTTCACGCCGGGCTCGGACAGCGTGAGCATTGACTTCACCGACAAGGGTGGGCCTGCTGAAGTCGTGGGCAAGTGGGACGGCAGCGGCATTGTTTTTCCCGATGGCAACAAGTGGACGAAACTGATCTCCGTGGGGGTCGGCGAGGGACAGCCGATCATGACCGCGAGGTAGTGGAAAGCATTGGCAGATAACAACAGAAGACATTTGCAGAGCACTAGATGCAATATGATGCACTTCGTGCCTAGATCTGTATAGGGATCTTTACCATTTTCGCCTGGATGTCCTTGGCTCGATCTGTAGAACCCCAGCTTTTAAACACCGGCCGTTTGTCCGAAAAAACGCAGCGTGTGCCACACGGCGTGTGCCGTGCGTTTGTGCCGACGGACGGCGATTTCCATCTCTGGCACCCAAATGCCTCACTCAATGTGGATTCAGATTCAATCATTAGAGGTCACGCGGGCCTTATGCAGCTTGCTTTGTGCACAGCTCATAACATCGAGCTTGTACCAACACACACACACACACCACTGACAGCTTGTTCGATGCTATTTGCCACGCGTTTTTTCCTCTGGAAACTCAGTCAAGCCTTTCCCGCCTGAGTGTTATGGATGGTTGTAGTGCAGCAAACAATCATGTAGGACCATCGCGTCGATGTCTGCGAGCTTTTGGCTCGCCAGTGTGTAGCCCACTCCGCACTTGCGATTTTTCTCTTGTCATGGCTCCGCGCAAGTCCGGCAGCCTCGTGGCGCTTGTGATGCTTGGCGCGGCCTGCACGGGCTACACCTTCTTGACGCCGTCCGCCCAAGGCCGCCGGGCGGCAATGCTTGGCGCTGCTGGGGCTGCCGCCACAGCTTTCCAGACAGCGGAGGCCAAGGACTTCGGCGAGAACCCGTCCTCTTGGCTGGGGTACTACAAGGAGACTGCCAGGGTGGTTGGGGCGGGTAAGGCGGGAAGGGCGGGAAGCGTCGCAAGCTGGGGTGTTTGAGGCCTGCTTGTCTCTTAGTCTTAGCCTATGACTGTGTCTCGTGCGCGCTGCAGAGTTGTTTGGGTGAGGAGTTGATACGGGTGCCCTCATTTGAGCCCGGATCCCTCTGAGTCTCACAGGACCCGCAGCACCCCCAGTGCCCACGCCTCATCAAGTATGACTACAACCCTGGTGCCAAGAGCCCCCTCATCGTGGAGGCCGGAGATGGCGAGCCAGGCTGCGAGAAGCGGGTCTCAAAGTACTGGAGGGGCCGAGTGACTTTCACGCCGGGCTCGGACAGCGTGAGCATTGACTTCACCGACAAGGGTGGGCCTGCTGAAGTCGTGGGCAAGTGGGACGGCAGCGGCATTGTTTTTCCCGATGGCAACAAGTGGACGAAACTGATCTCCGTGGGGGTCGGTGAGGGACAGCCGATCATGACCGCGAGGTAGTGGAAAGCATTGGCAGATAACAACAGAAGACATTTGCAGAGCACTAGATGCAATATGATGCACTTCGTGCCTAGATCTGTATAGGGATCTTTACCATTTTCGCCTGGATGTCCTTGGCTCGATCTGTAGAACCCCAGCTTTTAAACACCGGCCGTTTGTCCGAAAAAACGCAGCGTGTGCCACACGGCGTGTGCCGTGAGCTTGTGCCGACGGACGGCGATTTCCTCCCATTACATGACACAATATTGCACAACATGACATAACATAACATACCATATCGTGGATACATGCATACATGCATATATGCATACATGCATACATGCATGCATACATATACAATATTCATAACAGTCATAACATACATCCCATACATTCATACATACATGCCTACCTGCGACATACGTACGTACTTGCGTACATACATACATACGGTACATACATACATACATACATACATACATGCATGCATACATACATACATACATACATGCGTACATCCATACATACATACATGCGTACATCCATCCATCCATCCATCCATCCATCCATACATACATACATACATACATACATACATGCGTACATACGGTACATACATGCCCCACATACGCGCATACACACACATCACACACACCCCCATACGCGAATACACAACAGAACAAAACATATCATGGCATATCACAACACAACACACCATAACATAGCATATTCACACATCCATCCATGCATACACAAGTACATACATACATACAGACATACAGACATACAGACATACAGGCATACAGACATACAGACATACAGACATACAGACATACACACATACAGACATACAGACAGACAGACATACAGACAGACAGACATACAGACAGACAGACAGACATACATACATACATACATACATATCGCAACGTAGCATACCATACCATACCATAGCATAGCACAACGTAACACAACATTACATGCATACATACATGCATGCATGCATACATACATACACATACACATACATGCATGCATGAATGCATACAGACACACATACATACACATACATACATACATACATGCATGCATGCATACATACATACATACACACATACATACATACGTACGTACATAGAAACATGCCATCACACATAGATGCATGCATACATACACACCTACATACGTACATACATACATACATACAAGCACACATACATGCATACATACATACATACATACATACATACATACATACATACATACATACATACATACATAGCATAGCATAGCAGAAACTGCCATACCATATCATATCATACCATGCCATAACATACCATTTCATACCATACCATACCATACCATACCATACCATACCATACAAACATACGTTTGCATACATACATTAAAACAAAAATGCAAAACACACAACACACCTATGTACACCACCACAAAGCAACACACAACACCATAACATACAATAACATACATACAATAACATACATACATAGATACAATCATGTCATATCATATCATATCACATCAAATTATATCAAATCATATCGCATCATATCATATCATATCGTATCACATATACATATGCATATGTCTCATTCTCTCTCTCTCTCTACATATATATATATATTTAGATACTTATATATATATATATGTACATACACATGTATATATATATATATATGTTGCGGTACGCCACCCTCTTTCGGGGTCACCATGCTGCCCTCGCCAGGCGGAGCCTGTGGTCCATGCAGCGGCAGCTCGGGGCGAAGCGCCGGACCATCGCAGCCCCGGAGGTTCGGAGGGCAAGGTCCAGAGCCACGTCCTCCAAATCCGGGTGGATGAAGGTTAGTAATAGGTAGTAAGGGGCAGTCGCTAGAAATAGTTGCCAGGCCGCCTTCTTCATTCTTTACATGGTTCTGGGTCGACCATTTTAGTACCAGGTTTTGATTGTGACTCAGGTGTAGTTTGGAGGGTGCCAACTCGATCATTTGGGAAAAGATGGAAGTCTGGATGGACGAAGTTTCAACCACGACAACCAGCGGTCCAGGGATGTACTTGGGGGCAGACAAATTTTAGGATTGGCACCCTGTTGAGCTTGGATTGAAGGGGAACCAAAGGGACACCACCATATTTAGGATTCCCATATTTTGATCTATGCCCCTGTAAGGTTGGTTAGAACCCCTTTAAACGGTACCAGTGTAGTGGGATAGTCTCAATCCAAGCGGTTTTGGGCGGCTGGACTACATTTTGTTTGGGGGTATCTTAGCTTGCAGTTTGGACGCTGCTTTGTACTATTCAAAGAGCACCAAATAAGTACTACAGGAGTGCCGACGCAGAAAGGGGGGGTGGGGGGTGGGGTGGGGTCTGGAGGAAACTATGAAACGTGCATCCAAACATATCTCTAAATTGAGGTGAGCAAATTCCCTAAACTTCAGGTGTTTTGTTGGAGAGCACCCTCTTTTCAGGCGGCTTCCAATGAAGACCTCAAGTAGTCGTAGGTACAACAGGCAGGACTATTTTCCATCGCAATTTGACCAATGTTGTGCTTACTCCCTGCTTGCTCGTCCGAGTACAATGCTTTTTCGACTGTTTCGGCCAACAAAGTCAGAAACTGTGATCTTTGGGGGTGAACTTGGGACTTCCAAAATTGAGTGAGAGGCCGCACGGTGCCTGCCCTTCGCCAGCTTAAGCTTGGTCATGTTTTCCTCACAAAAGGCCGCTCTATTTGCTCGGTTTGACCGGGAGCATGTAGGTTACGCCCGGGTGCCGGTCTTTTCTTAAGCCAGTCTGACGCTCCCTCCGCAGATGGGACTTCTTTGCGCACCCGTCTCAGCAACATCTCAAGCGAGGCGCAGAGTCATTGCGAACGTGGGTGACATAGTTTTATGGCACAACTAGGAGCTTGTTTGCGCCGCTTTTGTAGCACATGCCCAGTGTTGAAGCCATAAGAGAGATGGTAATTATTTATTATGAAGAACCATGTTCTTTAATGACCCTCCCTGCAAAGAAATGAGAGGAACATTTCGGTTTGCTGTGAGCCAGTTTACTCAAGTTGTCAGGCACTCTCCCGAAGCTGTTTGGCTCAACTGTTGTGTGAGTCGTATTTGTCACGAAGCAGGAGTTTAGATGCTCGAAAAACACCACTTCCCATTCTGTTGAAGTACTTTTCGCTTTCCCCACTCAGGCGAGTCCAGAAATCGGCCATGCCATGTTAGTGCTTGGCTTCCACCAGCGCGGGCTGCTGGTGACGGGCTCCGGCCTCAATCGGAGAGGCAGCTGAAACAGGCCCGGAGCACTTGTTGACAAATCCCCCATCTAATGCTACGCCTCAACCGTCTGATTGCCGGGTCGACATGCGAGCCAGCCGAGGTGAGACCTATGCGGCTCGCCACATGCTGAAGGCAGGGTGTGCAGGGTGGAGGCATCTGGGAGCAGCTGGGGCTGGTCAGCTAGTGGCTTTTGTGGCCGAAAACCGCAGTTGGTGGCCATGCAGTGGTTAAGTCGCGCTCACACGAGTGAACACGTATTTGTCTGAGTGCTAGGCCTTGGAAGGCCGCTGGGATGCTCATCTCCGGGCATGGCTCTTTGCCTTTGATCAGAAAAGGACCGGGGAGGGAGACCGAACCTTTGCCCCCCAAACGTTTTTTCAGGTTTGATTGGTTAGAAGGGGTACCCCCAGCTTTCTTTGTATGAAGTTTGATGATGGAAACCATAGAATGGTTCAGCTCACCGAAGCGGAAAAATGGCTCAGGACGCTGGTGAGAGGCCTCGACAAAGAGGGTTTGGAGCTGCAGGACAATGCGCAGGCCAGGATTTTGAACAAGCATTTTGCTCCCTCAAGTCCTTGCTGCAAGGCTGGTGCTGTAGCAAAAGGCTCAAGCTACATCTACGCATTTGTCCCACCTGTGCTTCGCGCCGCAATGTCAGCCAGCCGCCGTGTCTCTCAGCTGCCAGAGCCTCAGGCTTTCGCAGCTGAAACGGAAATGCTCAGGCGGATCCCTGCAGCAACTCATTTGACCATATTTTGACAGTGTCTGATGGGACAACTCAAGCCATTCACTTTACCCACGTCCAGGGGCGGAAACGATTCACCCAATTTACCATGGGCTGCCCATGGCCTTTGGAGGGACACATGTTTGGGGCCGGGTAGAGGTGTCCTTTTTTAGCTCGGTTCGAGATTGAGCCATTGGTCCGAATGACTCGAGGTGTGGCCACGTCAGCCCCTGCCGTGAGGCGGGAGGCTGCGGCAGCAACACTCCTCGTGGCCGCGGCCAAAACCTGGAAGCGCAGGCGGCATGAAGCTGGGACCCTGCCAAAAACACCCACCCCTAAATGTTTTTTGCAAAGCCAAAGCACCCTGCCCACTCCCAGGCCAAATGGAGGTGCATTCCATGTTTGTGGGTCGGTGGGTAAATCCTAAGCTCCTATTAGTAAGATCTAACAAGCTATCCAGATTCACAGCAGCCTGGGGGTTTGCTCGGTGGACCCAGCCTCTTGATGGCTGGAACTTGATGTGGCTGGCCTGCTTTACCCATGCACTGACCCGACCCTGCGAGGCATGCCGCAACGACCCTGCCACGGGCTACAGCTGGAAGGGCGTGCATGACGACCTGGAAGCTCAGCAGTTTCCGTTCGGCGAGCTTTCAAGGCTTGTTGTATAATGTCGACCCTTGATGACCTCCGACTTATTCAGGCTCCTGCCTGTACAAAAGGTCAACATTGTTGCCTGGGACTGTGCCCCACCTATCAATAGTCGGCAAGCCTTTGCACTTGGGTTCACGAGGGTTTTATCATGGGGAACGCAAGGCACTCGGGAGTATTGCCCATGAAACTGGGCAGGGGTCAGTCTTTACAACGCGGATGGGGCTGCTTCTTGTCAGGCCAGTGCACAATGAATCAGCCGCTCCAAGCATCCGACGATGGATTGTGTTTGTGTGACCAGCAACAACACATGCAGCTCGCAAGGGCACGACGTATCTTATAACCAAGATTTGTTTTGCGTTCGCTTGGGGCTAACGGGTCGCGGTGGCTTGGGGTCACGGCGACTTCGGGGCCAAAGATCCGTTGGCCAATGAACTTACCGATAGGGCGGCTTATGGCAACCACAGAGTGCAAACACACACACACACACACACACCAGAAATGCCTCTTGTGTTCTTGTATTTGGTGCAACTGGGCTCTCTCTCGCACTCGGCTTGACACCGTGTTGCATTTCTTTCCCGGCCCAGCGCTGATAGCCACTCTGGTTATTTTCCGTGTACCTCGTCCAAACAAATGTCAAGGGGCGACACTAGCGGTGGGCCTGAGCCAACCTGAGGGGACTCCAAGAACTCAGTTGAGTGGTCCTTTAGTAATTTAGGAAGCGGGGCTCTACGCCGGATGCTATGGCTGGGACCACGCGGCCTACTGGGGCATCGCGGAGGCCAAGGCTGGGCTGGACCTCAAGGAGTGGTACAAGACCCGCACAGAGGCGGAGTTCTACTTGCCTGAGTTCAAGGAGAATCGGGCTGATCAGAATGGGACCCAACGAAATTTAATCATTTGTTTCTATTTTTGTTTTTCATTTGGAAACAAACCCAAATGGACCCTGTGATGGGCATGACAGATCCACCATTTTGTGGACCAGCTGTTGTCTCCACAGATTACAGAACGAGCTCTCGGGGATTCCTTATTCAGGTTTGAAAGTTATGGCCAAGTTAAGACTGCACAGGGGCGAGAGGAGGAAACTCTAGAGTTTTGGTCCACCGGCGGAATCTGTAGCTTCCGGACAGAAAGTATGCTTGCCTTGTGCTGGATAGAGGTGCATGAGGTGAGAGCAATCAGACGGGAGACGGGTAGGTGGGTTGCGTGGGAGGTTGCTTCCTTGAGGGTGCTCGTTTTGGGGTTCTCTGAAAGGCAAGCCCAAGGTTACGCAACTGATTTGGGGGATTCCATAATTTATAATTACAACTCACTCCGTCTTTGGAGTTCCAACCATTCACAACTATAGCCATATCATCCTCAAGAAAGCACATGAACACTTGAAGCTGACACATGAACATCTGAGCCAAATTGGGTCGAGGAGCTGGCGGACGACCCCAAGACCCAGCGGGACTGGGACCGCATCGCCACCTTCGATCCCCTGGGCATGGTGGCGCACCCCCCCACCATCTCCGCGTGCAAGGCCAAGCTGGACGTCCCCGAGCTGCAGGCGGGCGGTTTGGCGGGCGAACCAACTGTTCCCTCAGAGCCTGGGGATAGTTGCAGGGGTTCAACCGGATGGGACACCAGATGACCAAAGTCAGGTTCGAGATGTCTTGACCTTGATTGGAGAATCCCCGACTTGCTATTGAGGGGTTGGGAAGGGCTCCCTTTTTTGGCGGGGATTCCTTTCTGCCAAAGGAAGCCCCGCGGCAAGAACTCGGCCCATGGTGCCATCCACATTACCCGCAGTTTGTGGTGGTTTGAAGGGAAACCACCGCGCGCCCCAGAAGTAATTCTTGAGAAGCTCTCATGATGCAACGACTTTCAGAGACCCGGAAGAGCAGTCTATGCGTGGGGGAACTTCCAAACTTCACAACATCTCCCATGTCATTGTACGGAAGCATTCGAGTGTTGGTGTAAGAATATGTATTTGAGCATGGTCCCTGTCATTCCCCGGACCTCTTCACTCCGTTGGTTTGAAGACTTCCCTTTTGTCAAGTCAACAACATGGCGGATTGGTTTGTGGATCTGAACTCTATTTTTCTGGGCTAACCCATGTCCTCCCGAGCCACAATCAAAACCCGGGCAAGTGAAGGCGAGTGAGGGACTGTCCCCCCCAGAAGCAACTAGGTGCGGATGTCACTATTTACCGTGGGTTTGTTGACTCCTTCAATTCCAGGAAATGATTTTGAACCAAGCCAGCAGCAAGCATCACCAGCCACCAGCCCATCACCAAATTTGCCTCAGAAGCTGAAGCAAGACGGGGAGATTGTTCTGCCGAGCGGGGAGATCGTCACCTCGAAGTGCGCCATTTCCTACGCCTGGAACCTGGAGCTCTTGGCGCCCCGTGTGGGTCTGTCCGAGGAGGAGCTGAGGCGTGGATTTCTCGGATTTCCCTTTTGGGGCCGAAGGCGATTTTCCCTACTGATGTTTTGGGGAAATCTAGGGAGCTCTTTGAGAGGCAGGCACTGTACAAGTACTCCAACGACAACCGCCTGCTGGATCCTAAGGTGAAGCCGCTCGCTTGGAAAGATTCGAGCAAGTGTTCGTGGAATCGGCTTTTTGTTTCGGCCGTGCTTGAAACGGGCGTGAGGTTTCGCAAGCCCTGTAGCTATCGCAATTGGTTCAGGACCTACTTGCCTGCGGTGGGTGGCCTCACCATCTACACCTTCGGGGATGCACGAAAGCTGAGGGACGAGAAGACGGAGGTGACGGTGCGGGTGCACGACGAGTGCATTGGCTCCGATGTCTTCGGCTCGGACATCTGCAGCTGCAGGCCCTACCTCATCTTTGCTCTTCAGCAGGCCGTGGAGTGCGCGCAGCGAGGGGGCGTGGGCATTGTGATCTACTACCGCAAGGACTTTCGGGGGGTGTAGGCGAACTTGGGCTTAAAGTGGCCACTTTGAGACCAAAGTTGCGCAAACTTGCAGTCGCGCTTGGGCCTATGTGCAAGGAGGGCAGGAGCTTGGGGGAGGTGATCAAGTTCAGGGTCTACAATGCTCGGATCAACCAGGAGGGCGGCGATCGACCAGACATGTACTTCCACCACACTGAGGCCATTGCAGGAATCAGGGACGCCCGCTTTCAGACCATGATGCCTGATGCGCTGAACTGGATGGGTGTCAGACGGATTGACCTGCTCTGCTCCATGAGCAACGAGAAGTAC